ATGAGTGCATAATTCAAAACAATAAATGCAATTTGCTGTTATTAGTATTATTCGGCACCACAACTTAATTAAATTGTTACGCATACGCCCCATATGCCACCGCAAAAAAGGGTTTTGTTCCCAATGGGATTTTATCAGCACACATTTAAGAGGTGGTATTATGGTGGGCTTCAGTTTGAAAATCATGTGCATTAGGTAATTAATAGTATTTTAAAGTAGTTATTCTCTTTTCATGTTATTCAGTTATATTTATGTCAATGATTTGTATAATATTTGCATAAATACAAAGGAATCATAATAAACTTTCTTGACCAAAACTGGCTGGAATAAATTTGCATAGACACTCGACTTAATGGCGGACCACTCGAGTTTTTTCTAGCCCGCTGAAATATAAAATATAAAAGGCCGACAGCATCTGCCTCGATTGGCGACGAGCAAAACTGTTTGAAAATAAACAGAAAACGGAGGGCGTGGCTCCGCCGGCGGATCTTTCAGATAGCTCGTCCCGTCTCTGTCGATCGTTCGGGAAATCGACTATAGCCATCGCGGTCGGATGTACGATCGCCGGAGTGTAGACAACGATCGCTTTCGTCGGCTCTTTGTGGGCGTTGCTGAATTTCAAATTTTGGCATGGCTATTTTTTATTTTTCATTCTGGCCAAACTGCTGCCAGAACTAAGCACTGGGCAATTAGCAAGTCAACAGAAGTTGACAGCTCTTTCTTTTGATAAAATATGAACAATTAACTTTGAGCGGCCTAAGTAATTAATGAGCACTTTGTGCAGTAAGAACTGGCAAAAAAAAAGAAATGGAAGCACAATCCACCAAGCTTGAGTGGGCGGTCAAAGCTAACCGACAAAAAAAAAAAGAAGCATAGCAACAAACCGGATGCAAAAACGTTTTAGACAATCCAACACAATAAGCCAATTAAAAGTCAAGAGGGCGAAGTTGGGCAAAACTTCTGTCAAAGCTGGAGGAAAACTAAATAAAAACAATTTAGTACCTGTTTTTCGTCCAACTAATAAGCATAATTTATGCTGCTTTATGCCACTTTGGACGGCCAAGCTGACATAAAATTCTAAAACCGCAAAGCAAATCAAATAAAAACTAAAAATACAAATTAAAATGAAACGAAACGAGAATACGAGAGCGACGCGATACGAAAAATCATCAACTAAATTGCTTCTCTGGCTTTTTGCTTTATTTTCCGCTGCATTTTGTTGATTTATGTTCGGGTTTTCTATGCACACACTTTGGCTTTCAATTTGTGGCAGAACAGATTTTATTTTAGACGAATTTGCCCAATGATATGCTAGTACGAAATTACATTTGGATCCCCCGAAGGTCTAGACAATTTCAGCACTGCCAATTTGCATCGCAACATTTTTTAATTTCACACATCGCTTCAAATGAGTCCTTCAAATGAGTTCCTTGGCTTGGGGTCAGTAATCCTAACTGATGAAATTTCTCATATTTAAGTTGAATTATTTCGAATCTGCTAATTGCGTTTATGTTCTATCCGGATTCGCCGGCAGTTGCATTGCGAATTTAGATTTATGGCATTCCATGCCAAATAACCATCATCTTTTGATTGCATTCAGCATGTGTAATAATGATGTTGCATAAATTCCAACTCCAGCTCCTTTGAAACATTAAACGCACTCGCTTCGCAAAACTCGGAGCACAATGCGGATGCGTATGCGGATGCGGATGTGGGAGGAGTGTGGGCTTGGACTTCATTGGATATCCGGTGATAATGGCATTGTTGCGTTGTTATTGCCACCACGCATGCAGACTGGCTTCAGTTTGCATTTGTGCCTTAATTAATAAGCAACGAATTTAAAGCAAATGGGCTTATATTGATATCCCATGACAACTTCCTTGCGAAAGGAGATGCTCACACAGATGTTAGCTAGTCACTGTTCACTAGTTCATAAATAAACTAGTTTGTACTTATAGCAGTCAAAATAATATTCCATATTCAACATAGAACACAAAGAATTGTGTAGGACAGTAGATTAAAGTTCTTATTGCCTTAAGTTCATTAGGGAATCCAATGAATTTATATATTTCCAACAATTTATTTATTTAGTATTAATTCACAGTGACTGCCGGCAAATTCAGTGACTGCCAGCACAGCAGAAAATTGAAACCCCACCGAAATTATGTTATTAATTAGTAATGGCAATGCATTGCGCATATTTGCACGGAGCAGAGTGTTTCGTTACACAGCTAGAATCGACGGCGGGGAATCGAAGGTGCTTTGCAATATTTGCCAGTAATACTCGGCTTGTTTACATTTGATTTAGGGTTCTGTGGGTGCATAATTACAGATTAAGTTCAACAGGGTTTCAGAACGTGTGAGTTATGGCTTTCCCTTCCTGTTTTTCCATCACCTACGCCCGAATTCCGCATTCCGTGCCCACAGGGGCAATTATCATAATTTTTTCAACACCACAAAACAAACAAACAAACAGAATATACATATGCTAAATTACACATTAAAACATTATTTGTAAAAAGGGAGCTCGAAAAATTGTTGAATTTTTCTTGGCACGCCCGAGAATTATGTGCAGCAGCCACCACTACTTAGTTGCCTTCTTGCCACACCCCTCTCCTCCATTCCGGCAACCAAAAACACTTGGCCATCCTAATTTGGCCGCTCATTGTTGGGCCAGACATAATTTCCTTCGTTTATTTTCGAAAAGTGCGCGGCGAATGTGAAAATTAATTATACTAAGCACACGCATAGACGGGAAAAACGAAAATGAGCGTGAGTGGTGAGTGGCGAGTGGCGAGGGGCAGGGAAAGGGGCTTGAATGGCAGGGAGGTTAACAGCATGGGTTATGGGCCAAAGAAAAGTGCGGACCCGACCAGACTGACTAGCCGACTATTTAAGGATTGGTGCGACTCTCTGATCTTCTGGCGTTGATTGAAATACATGTGTTGGACCAACAAAATAGCTGAGACGCATCTGTCATAAACCTATTTAAGTGGCAAATACCCTGCACTGCCAGAAATAAGGCGATCAAATGAAAATACAAGTCAAGTGGGGCCACGTTATAGCCAGGTATATTATTTGATTTAAGCGAGATTGTATTAATGCGTAGATTTATATTTAATGGAAATTCTAAAATTTAATGCGAATTCCTGCGTAATTTGCCCTATAATAAAATCTAGTAAATCACAAAGCGCACGAGAAAATTAAGATGAAAATTCCTGGGAAATTTTTGATCGATTTTGTGTTTTTCCGAGTGACTCTAGTTTGCCGTTTGGGCAATTTATGAGCTCTGTTTCTGTCACTTTTACCACACACGTTCACACAGACACTCTTAAATGTCAATAAATCATAGGAGCGGGTCGAAAGAAAAGCGAGGGGCCTGAATCGCTTGACAAGATTTCGAGTATTTATAGAATGATTTCCACATCTAGCCTTAATGAGGTTTAGTGCCCAGATCAAAACACAACAAACAAGGCAGTTTATTGACGATGCGCAATCGATTCGAGCCAAATGCGGGGAAAATTTAAGGGGGAACATAAATTATTAATGAAGATTTATGCAATATTTACCAAATCGCATCGCGCCCCAAACATTAATAATCCGAAAACCTCGAAATCAATTAGATCATCGCACACACGGCGGCGAACACTTGAGCACATGAAAACAGAAAATAATCAACAATTAAATACGACGGTGATGAGATGGCCCGTATTCGAAAAAGGCCACAAAAATAAAGCCATTTAGGTGAAAGGAAGGAATCCACTTTGGCTATGGCCATTAAGAGTGCGCCTAAGGTAAACACGGGAAATGCTTTATTGTTTATGAACGTACGAATGTATCTAATGAACTATTTCTCGGGGTGGCACGCGGGATGAGTAATGCCCAATTGTAAGGGGCCAAAAAATAATAGTGAGGAAAACTCACTCATAATCCATCTTCATCCGTAAAATAAACAATTTTGCATGGGCATCAATCCATCGGCGGGTACATAGCAATTCAAATTGCCATTCTATACAGTGTGCGAGTTTATTCGGAAATATTTGGCAATCAATTAATTGATTTTCGATACGAAAATTTACGCGATTTGTTGTTGCGCTACGTACTTGGGCCATTTCCTCTTTAAAATTTTTTATACTTTTCGAAATGGGTAATTTCGTGGCGCTTTCATGTTAATTTCATAATTTTTTCCGCCACTCCGGCGAAATGAGCATGTCATATGGACTATGGACTAGGCATCTATCTTTAACGCTTGTATCTCTATCCGAATGGAAGTGTGTGTATCTGTGTATCTGCAGACATGCCGCTGAAATACTAATTATGTGCGCGATTTAAATAGATTTTTCATTTATTTAGCTGGCCCATCATTTCTGGATGAAATGGAAATGGAAATGAAAACGAAAATGAGAGGCAAATGTTTTATGTTGCGCCATTGCCCTCGGCGGAAAACCAAGGGGGAAAATTGGGAAAAACGGCGGCCGAAGGGGGTTTCGATTTTTGCCTTTTGACGTGCGCCTGTCATTTCATCATTGCGCTCGTTTGGAGTCTCAGGAAAAATGAGCACCGACTGACTGACGGGGCGGAAGTGTTGCGAGTATATTCAAATAATTTCGAACGGTGGGAGGATACACAGCTCTCGAGTTATTTGTTATGCGCCCACTAATAAGGCCGAATGGGGCATAAACATTCGTAATTATGCGACTGTGAACTGGCCTTGGAGTCAGCCATTTTGGGGTCGCATTTTCAAGCGCGATTTCCGTATTTTTGGAAACAGCATTTAGCGGCACATTTCAATAATATAGTAATTCGTATTTCCGTTGCAACGAATTTCATTTAATCGGAACAAATAGATATTTAATATAATTACAGGGAAAGTTTTGCTTAAACTTAAGTTAACATTTCGCGAATTCTTCAGGCAAACGGCATGGCCATCTCAAAATATAGCTTAAAACATTCCAATACCCGGTAACTAACAAAAGTGTAAAATTTTGCTTAACTTCCAGGTGAAGATCTGGTTCCAAAACCGCCGCACCAAGTGGAAGAAGCAGGACAACGTCACGAATAACGAGGCGGCGGAGCACAAATCCTCGAATGCGAAGCCAGGAGCAGCAGCAACAGCAGCAACAACGCCAAGTGGAGAGCAGAGCGAAAAGAGATCCACCAATGCGACTTCACCCACTGTTGGCAATGCCGCACCCGTTGCGGAGAGCAAGAAATCTCCAAAGTCTCCGAATCGCGGCAGTAACAATAACAACAACAATACGTTAAATAACAACGTTAATAACAGCGAGGGAAAAGTGCCCGCCAAGCAGAGCACCACCAAGATTAAAAAGCAGCTGAACGCGCTGCTGGAAAAGACAGTTAAAACGGCAAGTCAAGCACAGCGAAGTGCAGAACTGGAGACCAGCGATCAAAAACCCCCAGTTGAAAAAAGGCCAAGTAATAGCAATGAAAATCAACTGCTACACCAGCGTTTGCATCAGCACGCCATACCTCTAACTGTAGAACCGGCCGCCCCACTCGAACAAACCGAGAAATTGGACATAAAACGAGAGGAGTCTCCGCAGCACCGGGAATTACAGTTAAGTCTCCAAAGGGCGGCAATTCAAAATGGCCAGCTAACGGAAATGGATTTTGAAAGCAAATTGGCCGCCAGTAAAATATCCATAGCGTTGGCCATGGCCAACAAACAAATGCAGCCGGAAAAGATGGTCAAAACCGAAAGTTCCTCATCGGAGGGGGAAGGCGAGGGGGAAGGCGAGGAAGATGAAGAGGAGGAGGTGTCCTCCAGCGAACATGGCGACTCTACAGAAGCCCACGATTCCCAGGATCAGGATGTCGCCATGCGGGAGACTTAAAGAGTAAAAAACACAGTCAAATTAACTTGTGCCAAAAAGTCGAATATTGCTCATCCACAAAGAGGATAAACCATCCCAATAAACAAAAGAAAAAAGAAAAACTAAACAGCAAGAAAAACCCCATAGTTGTAATACTTAATTGTAATTTAATTGTCGCGTAATCCGTTCACCTTTAGGCTTGTATTTTATTTATTTAATATACTTAAACGCTAAGGCTAGGCTTTTGTAAATGTCGCATTTAAATGTCCGCGTAAACTATGGAAAATTGTAATCTGAACTTTTGAGAATTTCATGTGATAATGTATACGAGGCGATTACAAAATTGATTTTACTACTTGAACTATGAACTATATTGTATGTAGGCCTGTAAGCTCTGCTACCCTGTAAATTGCAATTGAATGAAACATATTTATTGAGTGTTTGTACAAAAAAGGAATTAAGGCAACAGATAATATAAAGCCCGGAAAATGGTTTAAGCTCTGGTTAAATTTATCGGAATTTCACGATTTATATCTACATTTATTTAAGCAAAAATTTAAACAAGATTGCGTTATCGTTATTCAGGTCATCAAAAAATAAGAGAAGCATGTTTCCTAAATTCATTTTTGTATATTTTAATGTTAACGAAACCTGAATGGCAATTTAAGTTATTTAAAATCATTAAACCCTAAACTATTCCGCTGAATTTAACAGGATTGAACGCTCCGCCGTTACATATTTTAAATTCAACAAATTAAACGATAACAAAATAAACAGAATACATTTGATCAATCACAGTCGACGCATTTTTGCGGGTGGGCTGCTGACAGGTGGCTCTGGAACATTCACCACGCCTTCTGCGGTGATAAGGAACTCGGCGAAGTCATTGGGGGTCTCTGGTGAGTAAAGTATCTCCAGCTTGCGCACCGTTATCAGTTGATCTCCCATGCGATGTTGCTTGGGCACCCGAGAAACGCGCAGTCTGGTGCGTCCTAGGTGTGCCCACTGCAAGCCCAAGCAGGGAATCTCATCCTGACCGTCCCTGGAGGCCACCTGGTTCACACAGACCACGGCGCAGTTGTATTTATCCGCGTAGCTGAGAAGGGCATCTGCCAGCCGACGCATGTGTCGTGCTCGTTCCAAATAATCGGTATACAGCCGGAATATGGCCGCCACAGAATCAATAATGATCAGGCCAATGCCATGTTGTTGCATCAGTCGCGGGATGCGGTTTAGTACGCACGCCAGAAGAGTTTCCTTCGCGTAACAAAATAATATTAGACAAGCATATTGCTAGATTGATAGAGATTAGACCAACCGCCTCTATATGATTTTCCACAAAGATGTTTCCCAGAAAGTTGAGCTCCATTTGGGGATGCCTCTTCTCGCAAGCTTTGCTCATCTGCAGCAATCTTCTCGCCGGAAAGGCACTCTCCGTGCATATGTAGGCCACGCCTTTGCCCAAGCCTCCCAACTCACGGGGTAGCTGGACGCATAAGCACAGCTGAAGGAGCAACTGGGTCTTGCCCACGCCGGCTGCGCCACAGAGTTCCGTAATTCCACGAGCGACCACTCCGCCACCCGTGCAGCGATCTAAAGCGGAACAGCCGAACGACACCCGGGACCATCTAACATTCACAAGCGGCTTAAAGAGGGAATCAGCTGCAATAGCAAACTGTTTAACTGTGCATTCACAGGGTTTTGTATAGTCTGAGAATTACCCGACTGGGGCATCTCTGCCAGCCACTTGGCCGCCGCATCCTTGAGCACCCTTACATCATCCGGAGTGCATTTCCGCACGATTGTGTGCAGCGATTGCTGCCGGGTGTCCAGGAATCGCACCTTCGGCGTGGTGAGCACCTCCTCCGGCGCAAGAACATTGACTGTACGCCACAGCAAGTTAGTTGGGTCTTCAAAAAGTTTTAGAAACTCCAAAACTCACCCTGCTCTGCGATTTCCCTGATATGCTTAGGCAACTGATCCAGAAAGTTTGTCATCGCGATGCGATGGCATGTCCTCGATGGGATTGCGTGATAAAGTGGTCCCGCAAACACGAAAGGTGTCTCAACACCTCCGGAATTGGAAATATTCCGGGGGATTATTGATCAAACAGCCGAGCTGCCGACGACTTGCGAGAGAATTGAAAGTGTAAATAAAAGCCGGTTGAAATCAGCTGTTGGCGCCAATATCTTAAGTAGGCCAATCAGCTGGCCACTACAGTGGCCATCCAATAAGGCGAACGATCAGTTATTGCTTAGCAGTCAACACGAAATGTACTCCTTGTGTAATTATTGATAATTATTATGCAAAAATAATAATGTTTACTTCCCAGTCAGTCCAATTTGGAGCTGTGAAGATTTTGTTCAATCCTTTACAAACACAAAACTAATAGATATTTCGTATATACTTGATCACAAACACCAAACACTTGAGAGTATTTACATAATGTTTTCTTTCAATCATTTAATTTCGAACATTCTGTTTTTTGCACAAGCATCAGAGGAAACACAAGAACGATAGTCAGTGATCGATAGATGGTGGCTCCACTATCGATGATCCTCCTCCTATTGGGCGAACTTCGTGTGTAAATGTTGTGGTTTTTCTGTTTTTAAGCTAAGGGAACTAAGGGATGTTGCATCCTGAAGAGTCCTAGTGCTTCGAAACGGGTTTCGAGAGCTCGGCCAAAGCACGGGCCTCAGCCTCCGCGCTGCGCTTCTTCTCCTCGGCGAGCTTCGCATCCCGGATGACCTTCTGCTGTGCCTCGATCTCGCGAACCTTCTCCTCCTTCTTGGACAGGCGGCTCTGGTGGGCGGCGCCGTAGGCAATGCCCACCAGGAGCAGGGACCATCTGCCGAACTTGATCAGCGGGGAAACGCGAACGGGAGCCTGCGACATGGTTTCTTCTTCAAGTTATGTAATTGTCCGACCGTGAACTGCAAGAAAGGATTGCAATTTAGTAATGCTTCTTGGTAAGACTGCGTTCCCTGCGCGCTCTCCACTTTACAGACTCCTTGAGCTCCTAATTTTATGCAATTTTCGGTGTTAAATAAGCAAAATTACCAAATTGGTGGAGCGATTGCAACGGCAGCGCAGTATAACCTTAAAACAGCTGTCAAAACTGACAGGCGGCTATCGATAGTTGTATCGGTAAGCTAGCGGCGCTGCCAGCAGGTTTGAAAAAGTATGAACAATTTTTAGAAAATTTTATATATATCTTAAATAAGCTTTGTTGACCACTTTCTGTTGTTTCCTGATGCCATCAAAATTGACGTATTAATACCTGCTGCCTAGTCTAACATGTATTTTTAATATTTTTCTTAATAATATTGAAACAAAATGTTGGCAGAAAACGAGTTTAAAAGAATTTAAAATTACTACTAAAGCGTCTAATACAAGATGAAACTATTTCACTTGGAGTATGGTACATAAAGATAATCAGAAACACAAAACGAAACAGATTAGATTCAAATTTTTTGTTATCAAAGTTGCGCAACGTTTTACAGCACTGTTAGATGGCCAAAAGTTAAACGTTCACACTGAGGGCAGAGGAAAAAAGTATTGTTTTCTGGAAAACATGGCTAATTGCAGATAAAACGCGACTTGCAAATTCGGCGAATCTGTTTTCCGAGCCACCAATAGGGCGGCAATTAGACAAAATCCCGAGATACATGAAAATTGACGCGTGTTAAATGCAAACAAGAAAATTCCAACACAGACCTTGAGTGGCTAAAACACACACACGCACAAACCCTCCACACCTGCGTCACACATACACACCACACACGCACACAGTGATAAAGCGGAGCGAGAGGGATAGAAGATCGAACCGTTCCCTGCTTTTTTGTTGTTTTTCTTCAAGCAGGAAGTAAATTTGAGGGGATCCTTTTACTGAATCTTGCAGCTGGCATTATGGTGAATGTACCCCCGCTGCTCTGCAGCACCCCCCCGCCCATCGATTTTGGGGAGGAAGACGACGATTCCGGTTTACAAGCCACAATCCATTTGGACGAGGGTGACGAATACTCAAATTTTGGCTTAGTCAGCAGCTCGAAAGGTAAGCTTAGATATTTATCGAATTCCATACGGATACTCACGTAATACCCGCTTTTTAGAACCCCCTCCACCACCAGATCCCGTAGAGGAGTTTCGAGAAAAGCCACCGGATTTGCTGGAAAACAAACAAACCGCCGAGGCATTTAATTACCAAGTGAAACAGACGATGGATTACGAAGTTTTCGAGGAAACAGCACCGCCGACGCCGCCTCCGTTGAGCTTGGAACTAGATGATGAGGAACTGGAGGAGCAGGTTCCCTCCCTTAAGCTGGACAGTCTAAGTCTCTATTCCACGGAAAGCGTTTCCGCCGCCTCCACACTCTCACCGGTTGGGGAGACTAGAGTAGCTGCTTCGCCGGCCATGCAAACAACCAAAGCCCATGTCCTCAGCCACCAAGTCACGCTGGAGGATGTGTCCGATGACAGCGACGAGGAGTGCTCGCCAAAGAAGCCCAAAGAACTATTTATACGCGAGGGAGCTGTGGATTTCTTTGCCATAGAGGTACTGGCCACACCAACACTACCAAATGGTGAAGCCTTTTCGGAGGAGAATGTGGCACCAGGGAAAGAAAGCGTAGTGAATACCCCCCAACAAGAAGAAAGCTTTAGAAGTTTGGAAGTCCAGGAGGAAAGTTCAAGTAACTTAGAAAAGCCTGTGAAATATCAAAGCCAAGGCTTATCAAATTCCCAAAGTCAGGAGGAATCCCCTAGCGAATGGGGTCTGACAGCAAATAGTGATACATTTTCATTTACAAACTTTGAAGCAGCGCCAAAAGACTTAGTACACAAAGAAATTGTTCCCGAAATTCAAGAGGCAGAAGACGATGATGACTTTGGTGACTTTGCGGATTTCTCAGCAGCAGAACCACAACTAGAACAAAAGGAAAATTCAACGTCAGCTTTATCAAACTCTGCCTTTGAGCCACCTTCCTTAGCATTCAATTCCTCAACGGACTCGAAACCTTTAGAGGTTAAGACAGCTCCTACCACAGAAGAATCCTCAAATATACCTCCTACGGAGCCGGATGATGGCTTCGATGATTTTCAGGAGTTTGCCACTCCCGCGAATGGAAACCATGGACAAAGCGAAGATGACGATGATTTTGGCGACTTCGCGGAGCCCGTAGTGGCTGCTGTTTTCGTACCTCCGCCGCCGCCACCAGCTGCTGTCCACCTAAGCATAGACGAGAGAGTTAAGCCAGTCCTTGAGATGATGTTTCCGCAATCAAAGGAGCTGGACAGCAAGAGTATGGACAATCGCAGGCCTTTGGCGCAATGTCAGCGATTCAACTTTGGTGCCATAGAGCATGCCCGAGCTCTTGATTACCAATGGAGCAGCTCGGAAATGAGGCATGCCCTTGTTCGATCTCTGGGCATCGATTCAAGGAATATAGTAAGTTATAACATCCATATTCGTCTAGGCTCGAAAATGTATTTAAAATTTGTAAACTTGCAGCTCTTCGGCGACAAGTGGAACTCATCGATGCCACGTTTTGCTGCCAACCTGAGCTTTGATCCACTGAAGCCGCTGAAACCTCAATCTACCGGTGCCGCAAGCTGCTTGGAGCCCATTTCCAATCCCACCAGCTACCAGGGTGAGTGTCTGTAGAGTCTCTGCGAGATTGCTCCACTTAGTTGCCGCAAATTAACCGCTACACAAGTTTCGTAAATCGAGAAATTGCCACCCTATCGCCTAACGCTCGCTTTACTTTCAAACGCTTTTCGTTGCCTATTTCCCGATCCTATTGACACACGCTTCCCGGATTGGCCTGCCGTTCGATTGGCTGCTCCTTTCTATATATTCTTATTGGTTTTCGTTTGCCTTGTTTTCCTTGTGACCACATTACTTCTAACTATCTCAACAAACAATCAAAAAGTTTATCCTTACGATAAATTGTATTTAGAATCACATGTACAGACATTACAATTGGAACAACTAGACCAACTAACGGTGGTGGCTAATGCTGATAAAATAAATCTTGTTACCTCTAACTCCCACACCAATAACAACAACGATAATGGTGATAACGACGTTGCTGCCCCCGTTGATCAACTGGATTGTATGCCACCTGTGATGGATTTGATGACCCATAACGATCACAATTTGACAATCGATTTGCACCACTCTCCACCACTCACACATTTTGCCACCATCTGCAACAACAATAATAACGATAATAACAATCTTAACAATCTTAACAACAATCATGCAACAATGACAATAACAATTAACACAAACCTCACTGCTCACGACGCCTTGCTGGATTTTAGTAAGTTTCGTTGGCTCTGTGCGTGTGTTGTAGTTGATTCTCCACTCTTTTTTGTTCGTTCAGTTCCGATTCTCTATCTACTTCTCAGCTCTATCTCTCTATCTACCCGTACCGTCCTCTCGATCCACAGCTCCCCAATTCCCCAGTTCTTGTTACTTTGGCACAACGCATCCAATCTCAGCCAGCTCAGTTCTAGCACAAGTAGTTGAAGCCCGCCCTCAGTTCTCCTCATTTTCACATTTTACTTAGCTAGATACAGTTCATACTAATACCTAAATATTGTCTCTATTGTCTGCCATCATCTGCTGTGTTGCTAACTTTGGTACTAAAAGTAATGCTTGTAAGAAATGCCACTTTAACTCGCTAAATAAATATTACATTTTCTGAGCTCTTGATTCTATAATTTCCTAAAAGATTAAACGTAAATACGACAGTACTGTTAAATACCTTTTAATAATGATATTCTAAATTTTTCTTAAGCACAGTGGTTTAATTAGTTATCTGCAACATAACAGATGATTATAGCCTAAGAACTAATTGATTATCTTCGTACTTTTCATAGTTCTCATTATGACAGCCGAGTAATTGTTTTCTTTCCTTCGCACAGGATTGGAAAACGCCCCCGCAACAACGACGAGCAAAACTGAAACGCGGGCTAGCCCGCCTCATGGGGAAGGGTCCTCCGGCCCTGGTTCCGGCAGCAATTCCGACGGCGAAGAGCGACATAGTCATAGCTACCAGCCAACTGCAGACCCCAGTCCCGAATCGAACCATATTGAGTCCACAGCAGCGGCATCAGCAGCAGCTGTTGCTGCAGCAGCAGCGACGCTATCGACTGCTCTATCAGCAGACAGCCCTGCCCACAAACTCAACGGCGGTGAGCAGCTGCATCAGCAGCGGTCGGAGCCGGAGCAGTTTGATTTGAGGACCATTCCACCGGCCGCACCGCCAGCTCAGGAGGAGATCGTGGGCAGCTCGATGGCCAGCTATTCGGTGCCGCTGAAGGAGACCCACATCTACACACCTTCCAAATCGGATACGGCGGTGGCCAAGACCACCACACTAGCACCCATTGACTTCGACTACGAGATGGCTGCGACGGGCATTATCATCGATGAGACGGTGGTCAAGAAGGAGTATCGCGATGTGGAGTACAAACCACCATTTGGTCTGGATTCGCCCAGCAAACTGAGTGCCAATGGAGCTGCCAGCAGCTTTCAGTTGCCACCCCAGACGACGGAAGACGACGACTTCAGTGATTTTCAATCTATGCCGGCGCCAAGGTCACGAATCGATACACCCACTTTCGGCGAACAGATGATCCTCAGTCCGGCTATTCTGCTGCCCCAAGCCATTCCGTTGGCAAAGAAGCCAGCCGCAACTATTGAATGGGGCGACAATGCCCTGTCCAGCATAAATGCCGAGGAAATGGCCAGGATAGAAGAGCTGTTCTCCTCGCAGGCCAAACCGCTCACCATAAGCGCTTCAGTGGCCAAGAAACCAGCTCCTTCCGCGCCAGCTCAGTCTCAACCTCAAGAAGACGACGAGTGGTCGGATTTTGTCTCTGTTCCAGTCACACAACAGCAGCCGCATCATCAGCAAAACGCAATCGCCAACAACAATAATATCGTCAACAGCAACACTAGGCTACCAGCAGCTCCCAAAGAAGATGATTGGTCGGATTTTGTGAGCAGTACTCCGCCAGCTAGGCCAGCTCCACAATTCAACTCCGGTGCCTGGCAGAGCGCTAATTTCTACAACAATCCCCTGAGTTTGTACCAGGCACAGCAGCACCAGCAGCAATCCCACAGCAATCTGGTGCCCAAGGGCAGCAGCAGCAGCAATAACAACAATGTGCCAGCCATTCCACAGCAAATACACATCATGCACGACTTTTCGACTGCACCCGTTCCTGGAGGATTGGGTGTGGGTGCCACCTACCAGCAGCAGCATCAGCGGCAGCAGTTCCAAATCGGCAACGCCAAGGTGGCCCCACGCATCTCCCTGATCCCCGATCTCAGCTTCGTCGCCCCGGCCTTGCCCACCAATGCTGGTGCATTCATGGGTGCGCTTCCGAAACCGAGTTTCGGTGCCAAGAAATGACACAAGAAGCTGAGGGTGGGCGGTGCGCGGCTCCAGCAGCAGCAGCAGCGTCCGCATGTGGGCGCTCCACGCCCACTGGGTGGCGGGGAGGCCACCATCCTCACATAGGCAAAAAAAAAAAAAGAAAGGGACGTGCCTCTCCTGGGCAGCCAGTCAGTATTATGAATCCGTCTGATATTCACCATAAACCGAACCGTCACACATTTAGTTGGAGGCAAGCTGTGTTCCACGTTGTTGTCGTTGTTGTTAACGTTGCCGTTGGCATAATTGTTGTTGTTGTGCATGCATGTTGTAGTCTTAGGCGTAAAACAGGATATATAGCGAAACAGAAAGTAACCATTTTGTGCAATAGTTGGATTCTAAATTGATGTTCTTAACTTTGACGAAAGAAATCATTGTTTTCAAAAACAACATTTTGTAGAACGAAAAGTGTTATGCTTGAAAAATTCTCCATTTTTATAAAATATGGCGGCAGATCCTTGTTCCTAAATTCTTTAAAACAAATTAATACTACATTGAAAATATTTTTAGAGCTCCAAAAAATATTGGGTAAATCGGTACCACATTGAATTGGTCTAATAATTTTATAAGATTCTTTAAAGAATTTAAACTTTTACTTCATTAGAGCCCAGTGACATTATAAACCTTTAGGGATATTTCTGAAATTCTGCGAGAGTTTAAGGTTTAAGCTTATGCACCTGTTTGCATGCAATATCTTTATGCGGTCATATCAAAAAACAAAAGATACAAAAAAATAAGACGGATTTCAGAAATATCCCAAATGAAGACAAATGGCGCCCTATTATTGAAAAAGCAACACTATTAGCTCCATGATGATTTTAGCTTTAAAGCACCCAAAGTCCGCACCCTAAATCAGCTAGTGAAGTCAGAATACTCCGCCTATCTGGGGAATACCATCCGTTAATCTGCAGCAGAGCCTAGAAATGCATTCCACTTGCGAACTTCCCGTTTTGTATAACCATTAAAAATACTCCAATGCGAATGCGGGCCACCACATTGATGAAAACCCAACCCGCCTGATGCGAACCTTTTCTATATTGTGTACTTAACAAGCTGGAGGAAAGCGAACTAACCAAGCAAACATAGTTAACGTTGTATATGTAATAGGATTTGTTAGTTGATAGAAGAACTCCCGTGCATTCCAAGTGTAAATGAGTGTGACTGGTTGCCATGATGATCTCCAGAATATCGCTGGAAAACGAAACCCGATCCGCTCCAGTTTTTGATTATTGTTTTGTTCGTGTTAATGTGTTTTCATTTATTTATTTTACTTTATGTTACGCACTTTAAGTTGAATGTGTCTGTGTGTTGCGTGAGTGTCTGAAAATTATAAACAATTATCAACTAAAACTAAGTGTTTGATGTAATCATATGTTTTTAGGCTTAAATGTAAATTACAAATAGATTTTCATTTGTTTTGTTTTATTTTGCTAAGTCAATGAAAAAAGGTTAAAACAAGAACATGATTATAGATGGTTGCTGCTTGGTTTAAATAAATGAATTACCTATGTACTAGAACGTATTAAAATATATTTACCATATTGTATAATTAAAAGATATGCGCAGATTAAAATAAACCTATTTGAAAAACAAAATCCTTCAATATATTGGAGCATTCATTCAAATACAGAAATCTGGGTAAGATTGGGACAACACAAATTTGAACTCAGTCGATTAACTAACGATGCCGGATTTTTGGGGCGGGGGCGGTGTGATTTATCAATTTCATATTTTGTTTTTATTTATGTGTACCGATGAGTGTGTGATTGAAACCTGCGTGTAAGTAGAGAGATTATCAGTAAATCGAAGCACTAGGTGTCCAGCAGTCCACTACTCTCCTGGAGAAGCCTCGTGAATTAATGAGTGAGAGTCAGTGGTTTAAATCAACGATTCAGGGTCAATTCCTAGGGGTTTGGGGCAGGTGCGAGGGAGTGTATAGCTCTATGGCAGTAAATAGTACGTAATAGTTAGAAATTACACATGTATCTAATATAAATATCTATATAAATAGTGTACGATCGATTTTTGTCAATGTGAATGCGTGGGTTCATTAACATCATCATCTCTCTAAATGGTCAACAGTTTTTCATTTCATTCAATTATCTTAAGATGCCTTAATGCTTAAGCGCGTTGTTTTATTGTTATTATTATTATTATTATCTCTCCTTAACTTTAGCCTTGCTCTAACATAATGAAACGCTAACAAATCCAAAAAGATGCTCATGAGTGTGTGGGGGGCACGGGTGGATCGATCTTTCGATATAGAGTCTTGGGGTGAATCGTAATCGTACAATTTAAAGGCATTTTGCTGTAGGGATCATGGGTCTAATATCAATTTACAATCTGTATACGCTAGGTCTTTTTGATAAATTTGTTCTTAATAGGTAATTTCGGTTATTTCACTGACCCAAGAGAAATTTTAACTTCATGTGTAACTTATTTTGGTAATGCCAAAGACCGAAATTGACATTAGACCTATTTCTGAGGCAAACTTGTTAGAATTTACATTGATTACTCTTCGTCCCTGGCTGGAACCACCCTTGAGTTGTTGGGTTGTTGGGTTGTGTGGGTATCGCTATCCTTTATGATATTTTGAACTAACAGTTTATATACTTTTCCTCAAATATGATCTAAGCTCGGGGATGCCCAGAACCGGTGTCAAATACCACTGTCCATTCTGATTTAAGTTGCCGGAATTCGTAATGGTTGAATTGGTCTTACCAAAAATATAAGTGATTGCAATATAGTTATTGTTTTCTTAATAAAACATTTGTAGATGTATAAAATTCCGGCAACTTATCACATGGAAACAGGTCTGAAAACAATTTTGCAGTGGTTCAAGGCAAGGCAATCTACGTATAAAAGCTAAGAAAGAATCCCTCGAGCCAAAAACCAGTTTAGCCCAGGTCTTATTTTAAAGATTCTCTGCCCTGAACATGATAAATAGTCTTCTTATTAAGGCTGTGCCGCATCCCCTTTCGCGAGCTCCTGGAGAGCTCTTCCTCAGAAGGCCAACCAGGGATGGTGCAGTAGTGACTCCTTGGATCGGTCCCCGTAGTCGTAGGTCAGCTCCTCGCCCGGCTCGATGTCGTCCTTGGCCAGGAGTACGAGGTGAGGCCGCTGTTTGATAAGTACTACTTTGGTCATTAGGTTACCAGCCCGCGAGTGATTGATGAGACGCCCCAGCTTGCCGGTGTCCACGGTTGCATCGATGCAGTACTGCTGGGTCTTGTGCTTGAAGTAGTACATATAGCACCCAGCATTCTCGTCCAACGCATAGCGTTTCTCCCGTTCCGCCGCCTCGCTTATAGAGATGAGATCTCCCACATACTCAACCACAAACTCATTACGTTTGAAGGGCCGATCGGCGACTACTCCTCTTCCCTTGCCCATGAAGTGGCGTACTTGAAGACCCTCGCAGCGCTCTTCCAGCACTGCTTGCTCCAAGCCCCGCATCCACTCCTCCTTGACGGCCGTCTTAGTCTTGCGCACACTCCTACGCACAGGGAAGAAGTCGGTCATCTCACGGTTGCCGTTGGTGGCAGCCAAAGGCAGCGGCGGTTGTCCCTTCGTTGGCGCCTTGCTTTTTGTTTTCGATTTTACAGGCGCAGGCTTGAGCATGGATTTCATGCCTGTTTTATTGCTGTTCGCTGTGGCTGGTGCTTCGTTCTGGTTTTCGCGCTCTTCGGCAGCCTTGAGCAGAGCTCTAACGTCGTCCTCGTCCTCCTCTCCATCATCGTCGTCGTCTAGCACCACGACGATGTCATCCTGCTGCTGCTGCTGCTGTTGTGGCGGTGGTTTCTGTAGCTGTGGCTGTGGCTGGTAAGGCGCTTGTGGCTTTGGCTGGTTCAGTCTTCGGCGCGACTTGCAGGCGGCCACCGCTGCTGTAGTGGCCGGCAATTTTCGAGGAGACTTGCGTGGCGACAATGGATCTGTGGATCCGACCTTGCAAATCCCACCAGTTACCTTCAAAGCCGTTTTGATTGGCGAGGGGCAGAGGATGCGATGCGGTGTGGCTGGTTTTCTGCGCCGAGGTTGCCCCGCTGGCGATTCTGTATTGGCAGTGAGTCCACAGGCCACGCCGCTGTCGCAGGAACTACTGTCATGTTGATCCAAATCGAAGTGCGGCGCATCCAGCGGCTCCTTTTGTCCATTCAGGCTTACTATTTGATTGAAGCGCCCATTAAGGCAGGCGTTTAGCACCGACGGAGGTGATGAGAATACGGCTCCGGCCAGTTCAAAACTCCGATTGATCTTAATGCTGGAGGCTTTAGTGGGCGTGCGATCAATGTCCAGAGTCAGAACCGGCTCCTGCAGGAAGATGTTGTCGGTGCTGCTGCTGTGCGTGGAACTATGGCTGTCCCTTAGCGCAGAGCGATGTGTCTGGAAGTCGGCCAAAGAGCCCAGTCCTTCGTGGGGCTCTGTGACCTTTTTGATGTGTGGAATTTCTGGGATCTGTTGGATCGCCTGCATGGCCTCCATATCATGCTGATAGCAGGGCGAATTGGAGGAGGCTCTGGAACTGCCATCGAATAAGAGTTCCTCCACCACCTGCTGCAGTTCCTCATCCATAAGCTTTTGTTCTGCCTTGGCATCTACTTCGTCGGCAAAGGGAAGGTTTTCATTTATCCGCTCGTCTGCTAGCTTTAGCACCTCGTCATCAAGGTTAATCTGTCCATTTAGCTCCTCATCGTCTAGTTTCAGCTCCTGATCTCCAAGATCCAACTGCTCTCCAGTGTGTATTGTCTTTTGGGAATCCTTAGCGGCAGCATTGGCTTTGAAAAAGTTCTCAATGGTGCGAGTTTGTGAGCGTGTGGCCAAGGGAACTCCTTAAAAAATTACAAACAAGGGGTATTTTAGCCACCACAGCTAACCTAAAAAAAAAAACAGCGAGAAGCGCACTCACCTATTGTGCGACCCGCTTTGTTGTCTTTGTTGTGGGCCATCATTGTGGCTTCCGGCAGTTGGCCATTTTGAGTGACCTTCATCAAACGGCAGTCTTTCCGCTTGGGGCTGGCAAAATACTGATCCTCCAGCAGATTTCCCGCCACATTTAGCGGCAGTGCTTGGTCTACAGGAATGCCCGATCCAGAGGAGGCTCCACCAGAGGTTGAGGATGTGGATTCCTTGGCGGGCCGTTGTCGTCTTCGCACCATTATCATTTAAAATGGGTTGGGGCGCGTGATCGCTGGATGGGCGGTAGTTACTTGGCGTTACTTTTTATTTGGCGTTGGCGCGTTTTTCTGGACACGCGTTTTTACCTCTCACACGCACACGCGGAAAAACCAAACTGCAATTACCTGAGGGCCACCGAAAAACAAACAACAAAATGAACGTAGAACTCATAAAACAATTGCACATTACATGTGTGTTTTTTTTCCTACTTTTCTGCCTCTCCCACTCTCGCTCTCTGCCTTGCACTTTTCTCCTCTTCTCGCCCCTCTTGCGTACAGTTTTCGCCACTGAAAAAACGTCGTCGTTATTGTTGTTGTGCGAAGCGAGCGAAAGAGGAAGAAGACCAAAAGAAGGAAAAAGAAAGAGGGAAAATAATGTGAGTCCCCGCAATGCACCTCGCTCGGAAAACTGTCGTCATACGCAGCAGCGCATTTTCAATCGAATGCGATCGACTTTATGCATGGCAGCATTTCGATGGCGGGGGAAATTAATTGTTGCACTTTTCCGCAAACTTTTTTTGGTTCTTTCTTTTTTGCGTCGGTTAGTGTTACCAGATGGCGTATCTGCTTTCACCTCTAGTGAATTTTATTACTTATACCAAATTAGGTATATTCTCAGTATGTTTCTTGTCAGTGTTGGAAGGTACTCAATTAAAAATATTTGAAAATTATATTTTATTCGGAAAGGTTTGTAAATACAATTATAAATTAATTGTAAATCGATTAGTTTAGGGAGCACTAGTTCTGAAATGTTTGTGTAGCTATTATTAAATATTATATTATACATGTTTGCTTCATTTTCATTTGAAGTCTCAAAGGTACAAATGAAAAAATTCCTTTTAGTTTTATATAGAACATTTTTCAAGCCTGAAACTTTTCAACTTTAACTCAAATGATTTCCTCTTTTATTATAAAATTATAACTAAATAGTAAAACAAAAACTAGAATGAATACTATTAATACTCTCATGGAGTTATTAAGTAATACCGACTGATCTCGGATTATAAAAGAAGATAGTTAAGTAATTCATAAAAATCCTCTGTTTTTTTAATCTTTTAAAACAATTTTTTTTACATTTTTGTAGCATTTTTTGCTAGTTTAACAATAGATTTCACATAGCATGGACACATCGAATGGATCGTGGCTAATGTTTTCCAAACACATTGGGCTCAGCAGAAGCTCCTCCAGCGGCACTCAGCTCCTCCAGGAGTTCATTTGACTGGCGATGTCTGTTCGGTACATTGGCACTGGAGTACAAGACATTCTCGTTGTTAATGTTGCCAAGTCTGGGATGGGCGCTGCTCTCAGGATCCGGATCCACTCGGTTGGCATTGAAGTCCGAACCCGGGACACAGTTTCTGGCAATCAGTGAACGTTGGAGCTGCGACAGACAGCTGGGGAAAGTTTTTTAAATATTATATATTTTATATATATACTCTTCTTCAATATTGTAGGTATATGATTGTAGATTTTGGTGTTCTCTTACTCATTATTTATTTCAAAAACAAAGTGGTTTTCATATTGTATAAGAATATTTTTGCATACTTCAAAAATGATCTTTTTAATAGTGTTTTGAAAATTATGAGCCTATGAGCACTTCTAAGAGGCATAAACTTCCTATAATAATCTGTATTTTTATTAATTTGCTTACAAAAATGTTTACACACCTGTAAAACAGTTTGTGCTAGATGAAATTAATTTGAAAAGCGAATTATGAGTTTACTCTTTCGTTTAAGCTTACCGCTCTAGTCGGCGATCGCTGGTCCACTCCTGCAGATCGTAGAGATCCGAGAGGCCCAGCTCGCTGCCTCGATGGAGGTGACCGGTGGTCAGGAGGGGAGATGCGGCGTTGAAGGACCGCTTGCCATTGGTCCATCCCCGGGAGTATTGAAAGGTCTGGCCCATGCACATGGAGAGCGTGAAGAGGAAGAGTGGCAGCAGCAGGAGGCGCAACATGTTTCCGCAGAAGTTGGTCCTGTTCGCAGGACACTCGGCAATATCGACTAGTTCCTCTCGCGTTCGAATCACAGCTGCGTCTGAACTTTTGCTGCTCCTCGCCGGGCTTTTATATCGATGGATGCCAAAGGATGCGTGATGTGTCTGCGTCTTCCGTCAGAATCCTTGCTTCAGTGCCCTCCAGAAACACACACTTACCCAGATTAACCGGGGATTATTAGCACCCAATTGTTTCAAGTTGGCAGTAAGCGCCCACATGTGACCACGCCCCCAGCTCTCGCCGCCGCCCCCTCTCACGACAGCTGGCTGCTCAAACTGAATGCATTTGCTGATTGGAAAACTACCACTTTTCCCGGGGAAAATCAGAAAGTGGGTGGCAAAAGCCAAAGGCTTAAAATAAAATGCTTGAGCCGAAAAAGTAATTTTCTCCCTGGCGAAGGGAGTAAAGTGTCCAAATTAGAGTTGGATCACCTCAGGCAAATGGATTCGCAGATGGAGTGGCCAAAAATAGCATTTTCCAGGGAAAAGCTTACAAGTTTAATTAAGTTATATGTTGACTAGTTACTACAATTTTTAATATTCTTAATAAAATGCACGTTAAAGTATACACAAGGTCAAACTCGTTGGGAATATAAAATGCTAATGCAGCGAACACAAACTACACAAATTGTCTACAAATATACAAAAATATACAATTTATATTATAAATATAAAAATATATATAACATTGGCTGGCATCAAGTACGTTACAGACTAGTTATTTCGCTATCGGGCACGACATTCGCCCGATTTGCGCCATTTGCTCCATTTTGCTCCATTTCCACGACGCTCTTTTCCTCGTTGGCCTTTCGACGTCGCAGCAGGAAGTAGCACACACTAAAATCAAGCCAAATAATTAATAAAATCATACAGTTAGCTTATGAAGGTAATTGTTGAAGTACTTACACGAAGACCAGCACATTGGGAATATAGAAGATTTCGCCAAAGAGCCAAATGGCACCTGGGAATGAATCCACCGTGCTCTTGTAAATCTCGCTGAAGATGGGCGGGAAGATGAACTGGGCAATTGGCTCACTAATGCCAAAGATGGAGTACATTTTGCCTGAAGAAGAGTAATGGATTTACATAAATTCAAGCCACTCAAAAGTATCTAGTGATTGCCAGCTTGTTAACTTAAAGTTAACTTGTTAACTTAGACACTAGAAAACTTACTCAGCTCGTCGCCAGCCACAATGCTCGATCCGATGGTCTTGATGGCAATCACGCGCAGACTGACGAACATGTCCACCACTCCAGCCACGTAAAAGGAGGAGGTGCTGCTGGCGAAGGCCTGCAGGAGGGCAAACACTATACCACTGAAATCCAAGTGCCATTTAGGTACTTACGAAAAGAACGCGGGAGCAGACTATGGACAGGGCGGAGAGCATGCCAATCATGGAGTCGGAAACCTTGAGGAGCTTGCTCAGAATGGCGGTGCCGATGAAGGTGCCCACCAGGGCAGCACCACTGGACAGGGTGAGGTAGATGCTGAAGTCGTTGCCGTTCCAGGCGAGCTTCTTTAGGGTGAATCGATACCAGTAGTCGTTCTCCCCGGAAGTGGGGCCCACGGTCAGGAAGTAGGCGCACAGCAGCAGGATCAGCAGCATCCGGCCGTTGTTGGGTCGCTTGACCAGCGGGAAGCGGATGCAGTCCAGCACCAGGGTGGGATCGAAGAGTTCCTTCAAGAGGGAGCGCTTCGGGGGCACCACCTCCACTTTGGGTTCCATGTGGGGAGTCAGCTGGAAGTTGACGTTCTTGTTTCCCTGCAGCTCCTCCAAATTGGTGGTCTCGTAGGCCATATTGTCGGCTCCCTGCTGTTTGGGCGGCAGGGTGGTGGGCAGTGGTGGTGGCTCATTCGCTGTGGTGTTGGTAGTGGTAGTGGTCGTGGTCGTGGGCGTGCTCTTCACCTCTTTTATGAAGAAAATGATGTAGAATATCGCAATCAGCTGGAAGACAATGGCTGAGGCAAAGGACCCTGGCGAAGAGGAATAAATGATCATCAATATTATCCGCTTTTTTCATGGAGAGCACTTCTTCTCACATGTGTAGCCCAAAGTTGTGAAGAGAAGTCCACTAATCGGTTGTCCGATAAAGGGAACTCCAGTAACAAACATGGCAAAGATGCCAAAACGGAACACGCGATCCTCCTCCGGCGTGGCTATAGTAATGTAGCTATAGATGGCCATCAGGCAAAAGGTCAAGCCCCCAAAGAGAGCTGGAACTATGGCCTCGCAGTAAGCACCGAACTCCATGGGCAGCGATTCGAAGAAGATCGATGAGATAATCTGACCTAAGATACAGAGGTTTTAATTAAATATGAGGCTTGCTGCTTTTGCTAATGTGGCTACTCACATGTGAAAGATAATGCCTCTCCGATAATTGGCATTATCATACAGGGTTTTCGTTTGTTGTATCGATCTGCCCATCCTCCAGCAAAGAGTAACACAATCAGGGGGAAAATGGCAGCTGCGAATAAATTGCTTAGTATTAACTTTTTGGTAATGCTAATTTCGCTTAGCATTTAGAACTGGTAGTGACGTGCAACAAAATAACTCGTTTTCGAAAATATGCTGTTCAGTAACATTCGGCTTATCATTTCAACTCGCAGTTGTTATAAACTATGGTTTGCTATATTCTACTGTTATTATGATAGAATTTCATTGCCAAGTTGAACAAAACTTGCTAACAAAATGTTCGACATGTGCATTAGAAGTAATTCTTTGTACTATGAGAGCTTATTAGAATTGGAATAAAATCCTATTGTTTTTATAGCAATTTCTAAAATCATCCGAGTATTCAGATGATTTAGGTTTTTATCAATATTGGATCATATTTTAATGAAACTCGTTATCTGCATGGAATCAAAGCAATATAATGCAATAAACGCCTTTGAAACGTATACTAAACTTTTTCGCATTGAGTCTATGACACGACATTCTGATCATTTAAAGCATCAATTATCGGTCTCTGATGCAATGCATCTTAATGAACCTGCCGATTGTTAAAGTTATTAAACAAGAAGAACCGGAATTCGGCGTTGCTCTATGCAAATGACATTTTTGGATGGCGTTTATTCTAAATTGGGAATGTAAGGTATTATCTATGGTCGAACGAAATGCCATTGACAATGGCAGTGAACCCACGAAAGTCACTCGAGAAACACATCGATGTAAGGAACAGGTTTCTCCAAACGATTACGATTACGAGGTATCCACTACGCTAAGGCCTTTGGAGGCGGCTCTAACTTAATCACCCGACGATTTTATGGGGGAACTTTTGTTAGCACCATCAGAAGACTGAGGGCGAAAGAGAACTCATGAGCGAATCGATTAAAGAAGGTAATTAGATGTTCAGATAACCGCTAATTTCCGACGACATCCATCAAAAGACACGGATTCCTTAAACAAAATGTGCACTCGGAGAAAATGTGTACTACAAACATTTCTTAGAGGTATACCAAGAGTTGCTCCTTCATGACTCAAAGAAAGTTCTCTAAAATGTTTCCCAATCTATAACAATCTAAAGATTTAAGTAAACACTTTGTGGTCCATATATCACTTGCTAATAGTATTATTTTCTCGGTGTACCCAACACTCGAGGGGCAGAAGAGATTTAAAATGCAGAGGAGTCGAGTGTGAAAAGAATTCGGGTCTAATTTAAGCACAAACCTGAAATATAGCATGGCTAATGCCAAACCCATACCCAAACCAAAACGGCGTATACTTTATGAACGACTCGTGTTATGTGTATGATATATGTGCATATGTTCGTCTTCTTACCCATGGGAGCTCGCTTCCCAGAGACATCGGCCGCTAGGATCTGAGCCTCCAGCTCAGCCTTGCACACCGTGTAGTTGAATCCTGTGGCGCCGATCACCAGGCCAGCGAGGTCCGGAGTGGCGCCCTGAGTGGTGTTCTCGAAGTCGAAGTCATCGCACTCGATGCCCAGCTCCGATTTGTCCAGCATCGTGTCGCAGACCAGCTTGTTGTAGCCCAGATTCACTCGACACGCCTTGTCCAGTGGGAAGTTCTGCATGGCCACCGCATTGAATACGGAGGCCATGAAGTAGAAAAAGAAGAAGGGCTCGATGACCAGATAGTGGCGATAGCGCCACAGTTTCTGGAAATAGTTGAGCTTGGGCTCCGCATCCGCCGCTCCATTGCCATTTCCAGTCGCATCCGGCGACGACCTTGGCTTTGCCATTTTATAGCACTTGCTGAATTGCTCAAAACTCCTATTTTAATACGATTCGGCTGGCTCTGCTGGTTGCTCTAGCACATCTCAGCGATTTGATCAACACGTCGCGCCAAGTTCTAAGCTCAGACTAAACTAAGCGACGATTCCGGGATCGGGCCTGGCCAGGTCTACTGAAGTGGGCAGTCGCTTGATACGCACAAGAAACTTGTTCAATCATTTCTTCGTTGCTTTCGGCTCTTTTTTATTTAGTTTGTTTGTTGTCAGCTTCGATTAGGACAGAACAATGATAAATATGAAGAATTGTCACCAGGCCGCGATCTGTGCAATTCGCACATGCCTCGGCAAGCTTCGTTTCGCGCTCACTTACATTTACAGACTGAAAGTTATAGTAAATAGCGATTGGAAATATATGTTGTAGAAATTTGAATACAGGCAGCCTCACTTGATTGACTCCATAACTAAGAAATCAGGTTTTAGAGTTTATGTTGCCTAAATATGCGGCTTAACCTGCTAAACATTCTGTTCAGCTTTATTTTTCATTAATCATTATTCATTTTTGCAACAAAAAGCTTAGTTATTTTCTCTTCTGAATATGTGCATGTGCTAAATATATACACTTTTATTGGCAAATGAAGATTTATTTTAATTTGGTTAAAATAGTTTCGGCGCAATGAATTTAATTATTTATTTTGAAGCCTGAGCTATTCAAATTAATGTATTGGAGGCTAAACTTTGTACAACCCAAATAGATGTCCTTCACAATCATAGAAAACACATTGATTTTTTTCAGTGTGACTGTTATCTCATCAATCGGAAACCGAGAATGGAGCTGCACGTGGGATGTTTTTGCGGCATAGCCATGGGGGAATTGTGAATTTGCGATTGCAAAGTGCCTTTACGTTGGTGCGATTACTTAGGACTACAATTACGGGGCGATGGGTCATCTGTTTCTACTCCGTCCATCGGTGGGTGCAGTTCTGGTTGGTACACACGTAGTACAGTCGCATCTCCTCTTCGGCGCGTCGGGTTTGCGCCTGGAAAAAGACCGCCTCCCGGTGGGAGCACTTGGGGCAAGCGTGATCTTCTGTGCGCGGCAGCGTAGGATCGGAGATCACGTCGGGCACAATGTGGGTTAGCTCGTCGATTTCGTGCATAATCTTGTTGACGTAGATGCAGTTGGAGTCCGCCTCCTGTTTGTAATCGCAGTTCCGGCAGGCGTACAGCAGGATCTTGTTCTCCTTGTCCTCCTTGGGGTACAGCATGTTGTTGCACTCCTGGCAGAACCGAATGCCCACGAATCCCGGGCCCTCCGTGTGTGCGGCGTCAAAGGCAGTCGTCATGGCGGCTAATGGCATTCATTTGTTGCTAGTTAATTGCAATTTATGGGTAAATCCGGCTTTTATTTACCTTTTTATTCTTGCAGTTGGCGAAAGTGTGACCGTGGCAAGGCGGCTTAAATATGCCAAAACACTCGGCGAGATATACCGAATTAACATACTAACCTTAACCCTTTTGAGCATTGCTACCTTATTTATTTGCTTATTTATTTTGTGCCATATTTGGATATGCATATTTGCATATTTGTGCCCACAGGATCTATCATCTAGAACCCTGTCGTGAATAATTATTAATATAAGTTGTCTATGAAAAATATATAAAATGATACATATGATAAAATATATAAAAAATATGTATCTAAGCAAAAAGGTAAAAACCGTTTACGTTATGTCCAATACAATAGTATTACCAATTCGCTTTCCTCAATATATAATTGTTTAGGCTGCCTGAAGGTAGCAGTACAATCATTTAATTCTACACGTATCCAAATCCTTTAAAAATAAAGAAAGCCATATTTTTATATGAACTTTTTTGATTTGGACGGCCTGAATACTGAGCCTAAATAAAACAATAATTTTAATTTTTCTATAATATTCTATGAAATAAAGTTTCGCATACAATTTTAAGCCCAATAATTAGAGGACCGACCATTGGCTTTGGTGAGTCATTATTGTTGGATCGTAACTATTAAAAAAAATTAAATACAATAAATAGCAAACCGGGTATCGGTAATTCATTTTGAATTTAGATAAGAGTTATTACGAATTTCCGAGCCAGAGGCCTTAAAACCAAGAAGGTTCTTATACGATTTACGGCGGTATGTTTAGAATATATTTTCATGGAATAAAGTATTCTTGTAGTGGTATTTTACCACCTTCAGTCGACGGTCACACTGCATTTTCATACACAAACGCTTGTCGTGTTGGAATTTAAAGCATAAAATTAGGTAAATTGTGATTTATTATCGGCACTGCGGCCGAAATCCTGTAAGGAACACAACGCGTTCTGTAAGGAAATGTTTGTGAAACTAATAAGTTAGCCAGTGACTTGAATATTGTACTTTCCTTATCGCCGATGACAGCAACTTTCTTTCGATGCGGAGCAGAAAAGTGCATTTATAATCAGCAAAAGAACTAATTAAAACCGATACTCCTCGTCCTTCGCCGGCGCAAAAACCCATTTAATATTTGAAAAGTATGCTACGGATTTCCGGGTGTATTAGAATTATTTGCTACCCCTTTGAAACAATTTAATTTAAGAAGAAAACTTGTTGCGTTTTCTGTGCGTCAGGCGCTGGTAGTGTTGTCTCGCTCACACCAAGGCCGATCGAACGTACAGATCGAACTCAGCGACGCCATTTTTTCTTAGCTGCTTTTGGGCGTGTGTTGGTGACGCTGGCAAAATGTGATGTTCAATAAATCACGTGCCTAAAAGTAGACTAAGGCGGACAAGTGATCCTGATCCTGAATTTTCACTCAAATCGATCTCAATTGCAGGCTGGTATAACCAACATGAGTGCCTCCAAGGAGGGCAAGGACAAGAAGGGCAAGCTGTTGGGTGTGGAGAACATTTCGCCGCCCAAGGATAAGCGTCCGACCACCAGGATGAAGCTCTTGAATGACGTGGGAGCCGGTGAGGATTCCGAGGCAACCACCACCGCATCGAGAACTCCATCCAACAAGCAGGAAAAGCGTGGCAGTGTCGCTGGATCGCGTATCAAAATACTCAATGAAGAAATAATGGGCACTCCGAAAGCTGAGAAACGGGGCGCCACCAAGAGCACAGCAACGGCTGCCTCGACTGTGAAAATCCTTAATGAAAAGAAGACACCCAGTGCCACCGTGACAGCCGTGGAAACTGCCAAGATCAAGACGTCTCCCAATAAGAGAAAGAAAATGGAGCACTATGTACTTCAGGCTGTGAAATCGGAGAATACCAAGGCGGACACCACGGTTACCGTGGTCACCGAGGAAGATGAGACCATTGATTTTATTCTAGCAGATGATGAGGAAGTGGTGCCGGGCAGAATTGAGAACAACAACGGCCAGGAGATCGTTGTCACCGAGGATGACGAGGATCTAGGCGAAGATGGGGATGAGGACGGTGAAGATTCATCGGGAAAGGACAACACTAGCCAGACGAAGATCAAGGAGATCGTGGAGCACGTGTGCGGAAAGTGCTACAAGACCTTCCGTCGCGTTCAGAGTCTGAAAAAGCATCTGGAGTTCTGCCGCTATGACAGCGGTTATCATCTGCGCAAGGCCGACATGCTTAAGAACCTGGAAAAGATCGAGAAGGATGCGGTAGTGATGGAGAAAAAGGACATCTGCTTCTGCTGCAGTGAAAGTTACGACACCTTCCATGTAAGTCATAAAAACTGATACGTAGAGAAGTCAGCATAGCTTACGCATACCACAATTCCACATTTTCAGCTGGGTCACATTAACTGTCCCGACTGCCCCAAGTCGTTCAAGACACAGACCAGTTACGAGCGCCACATCTTCATCACTCACTCCGAGTTCAGCGATTTTCCTTGCTCCATTTGCAACGCCAACTTGCGCAGCGAGGCTTTGTTGGCGCTCCACGAGGAACAGCACAAGTCACGTGGCAAGCCGTATGCATGCAAGATATGCGGCAAGGACTTTACCCGCTCCTACCACTTGAAGCGCCATCAGAAGTATTCATCGTGCTCATCGAACGAGACCGATACAATGAGCTGCAAGGTGTGCGATCGCGTCTTTTATCGCCTGGACAACCTGCGATCGCATTTGAAGCAGCATTTGGGCACACAGGTGGTGAAGAAGCCGGAGTACATGTGCCACACGTGCAAGAATTGTTTCTACAGCCTGTCCACGCTCAAGTAGGTTTTCTCCTTGATTTTAAAAAACATGAAGTAATGCTTGGTATATTCCCGCAGCATCCACATACGCACGCATACGGGAGAGAAACCATTCGACTGCGATCTTTGCGACAAGAAGTTCTCTGCATTGGTGGCCCTTAAGAAGCATCGACGCTATCACACTGGCGAAAAACCGTACAGTTGCACTGTGGTTAGTCTTAAAGCTTTCCGTACCTTATCATACATATTGTAGCATCTCGGTCTCCTCTTTCCTTTCAGTGCAACCAAGCATTTGCCGTGAAGGAAGTGCTAAATCGACACATGAAGCGTCACACTGGAGAGCGTCCGCACAAGTGTGATGAATGCGGCAAGAGTTTTATTCAGGCCACCCAGCTACGCACCCATTCCAAAACCCATATTCGCCCCTTTGCCTGCGATCAGTGCGACGAAAAATTCAAAACAGAGAAACAGTAAGCTGTCAAAAATGCTTTCCTTCATTTCTGTTGGCCTTGCTTACTTATCGCAATATTATTCCGCAGACTTGAGCGCCATGTGAAAACCCATTCTCGCACAAAACGCCCAGTCTTCTCCTGCGCCGAATGCAAGCGTAATTTCCGCACCCCAGCATTGCTCAAGGAGCACATGGATGAGGGAAAACACAGCCGTAAGTTAGAGTTGACTAGCAATTATCTATAATCTATAGCAATAATCCTACTCCTACCCTCTGTAGCACAACAACAACGGGCTTCAAAGCGCTCATCCGCCAAACTTATGGAACGCACGGATTGCGCCATTTGCGATAAGAACTTTGACAGTAGCGATACTCTACGACGGCACATACGCACCGTGCACGAATGCGATCCGGACGACATTTTCGGCGTTGAGCCCCAGACATCGAAGCGCGCAAAGAAGGACATCGAATCGGAGGAGGTTGTACCAGTGGCGTTGAACACTTCGGCGGGCTCGTTAATTTCCAGCCAAACGGATGGCAATGGCGTTGTGGTGCGTGAATTCCTGGTGGACGAGGGCGATGGCGAGGCCCAGACCATTACCCTAGAAAACGAAACATACACAATTCTGCCCTTGGACGGGGCCATCGAGGGAGAGCAGCTGACGGATGAGGCTGCGGTCAAACCCGAGGCCAAAAAGGAGGAGGCGCAGGTCTCGCCGGTGGTCAAGAAGGAGCAGCGCAAATCCCTGGGCGCCAGTCTGGCCGCTGCTATCGCTGATAACCTGGAAGAAGCGTCGAGCGAGGATGACTTCAGTGGCGAAATCCTAACGGAGGAGGACATAAAGCTCAAAGAAAACGTGGGTAAACTTATCGACATGCTAGTGGATCCCCCGATCTTAAAGAAGTACGGCTGGCCCAATGCCCCCGAGGAAACGGTGCTCTGCAAAGTGATCGAGAACTGTGGCCACGACCTGACCAAAGGTGGCGAAAACTACGCTGAGCTTGACTACGGTAGCCGCATGCGAGAGTATTGCAAACTGCTCTTTACCGTGGTCATTCACAACGATTCCATCAGGTCGCTGCTCAATAATTTCCCCATCGACGATGTGATCGAGTATGTACTGGGAGATGAGGACCAGGAGGAAGGAGGATTGGGCAAAGATACTGAAGACAACGAGTCAAATTCAGATTATGAAGATGAAGTGAAGTCCGTTACAGACGGTTCTAAAAAAGGAGAAACCAGAGAGAAACGTGAAAAAACGAAAGTTTCGGCCAAATCCGAGAAGAAGGAGATCATGGCGAAAACTGTGGATAAGGATAACTCAGAGGAGACTAATAAAGAGGTGGCCACGGAAAATAAGAAAAAATCGATCCCATTGGAAGCCGAAAAGGAAAAGGTTTGATCTTCCAGCCTTTGGTGCATGCTTACTATTACCGCACAAAAACAGAATTCTGGAATCGAAAAGTTGAGAGATGTTTATGATCGCTGATGGTTTTTACACAATTTGTATTTTTAAGATCGTTGGTTTCGGTTCAAGCACCAAGTGACCTTAGAAGAAAAACTTACCGTCTGTTGTTAAGTTGTTCGTTTAAATATTCAGACCTACATACTTATGCATTAACAAATCACCCAAAAACAAACAAAACCAACATATTACATATCAAAGATATTTTGATATTATTATATAGATTTTATATATTTTTTGATTGAAAGATGTTACCAAGCAATATATGCATTGCTATTTTTAGAGAACTCTTATTAAATATAAAATCTAAAAAATCAATATTTGCGCTAGAGCTCTCTTTAATTCTCAACAAGCTGTTATTGATATTTAAGTTTCAATGGTTACTGTTCCATCATCAACTTCAGTATGCGGGCGTTGTTTTGCAGGATCTTGTGGCGACTCTCGTCGATGAGCTCCCGGTACTCTGCAATGCTGGCTTGGATTTGCTGCAACTGATGCTTCAGGGGCTCCGTGGCAGATGCAGTGAGACTCTGCTCCCTCTTTAGTTCCGTGGAGGCCTGGGTGTAGGTGTCGCGCCACATCGTTAGCTCCAGCTGCATTGCATCAAAGTCCTCGGGTATACAGTCCAGCAGTTTTCCCAGCGGACCGATCGACTTAGTAAGCTTTTGGACGACGTCGCGGACGTCGTTCACCTGGCGGGCAGATGTTTGACGGCCAGCTTGTGCTTGAGGCGGTTCCACTTCGGCGCTCTGATTGACCAGCTCCTTTTGTGTTTCCAGGATCTGCTGCACCAGTCGTCCCTGGGCATCGAGCTGTCCTTCCAATGCTGGCTCCTCACCGCCACCTTCAACAATGTCATGGGAGGCGGAGTCTTCTATGATCACCAGGTTCTCTCCGTCATCGTCCAAGTCCCCAAAGGTTTCCAGCTTGACATTTATGCCAGACATTTTGATCTGGTCGTTTGGCTGCAGAACTATCTCCACATTGCGACGCCGTGGAGCTCCGGGTCGTGCGGAGGCGGGTCGAGCGGATGGAGGTCTAAGTGAGGTTCTGGGCCGTTGATTCGCGTCCTTGGAGTTCTCCCTTGAGAGAGGAACCTCCCGCTTCGCTTCGCTGCTGTTGGTCTCCGGTGGAGAACTAGTTTCTGCCGGCTGCACCGCTGGCTGGGATGGATTCTCGTTGGGAGTAGGATTAGGTTCCGGTTGTCTATGATTGCCACTAGAACGGCGACTTCTGCTGGAGGATTTGCGACTCTCAGGCTCAGCTGGTGGAGCCGGTGGAGATTCGAGGACAGGTCCCACCCCTGCCTCCTTCTCTTGTAATGGAGGAACCTATTTGGGTATATGGATAACGTATGGATTTGTATTTTATAGCTTAAACAAAGTAACTTACCGCTTCCGACTCTGGCTTATTTGGTGCGCTTTCGGCAGCAGGAGGCTTGGAGGAGGCTCCTCCATCCACTGGCGACATAGACAGACTGGGATTATCGCTCTCGATTGAAGGCTGCAGCTTCGCCTTCGTCTTTTGCTTAACAGGTGAAGGACTCTTTTGCTTCGAGTTTTGCCGACTTAACTTGGTGTCATCCTTGGGTGCCTTGGACTTCTTCTGGGACGCTTTATCCTTCTCGGTGGGGGGAGTAGATCGGGACGCCTGCTCGCTGGCCTTGCGTAGTTTCTGCTCTTGAGGCGATATGCGTTTCTCCTTGCGTCGCTTGGGATCCACGTCCTTGCCGGCAGGTGAGGGATTCTTGCTAGGATTTTTAGTTTCTTTCGGAGCTTTGGTAGTCGTCAGTGGTGTTTTGCTGTGGGAAATCACCACCTGGTCCACAACGCTGTCCCACTCCAGGTTCTTTTCCGCCACACTGGCCATGGCCTGGAGGAGTTCATTGGTGAGCTCCGGTTCCTGGCCAGCAACTATTTTTGATGTGCGCACTTTCAGATCCAGTTTAGTTGTCAGTTCTGGGAAAGCAAACACCTTGTAGTTCATTCAGTGAAGACCCTTGTAAACCAAACTCACTAGTTGCATCGATCATCTTTTGCAGAAATCGCATCTTGTCCTCCCGACTGGTTATATTCTCGAACATCTGCTCTTCCGGCGTATATAGTCCATCGAACTTGCTAGTTTGCTTGATAAACTGTCCACAAAAAGGGCTCAACTTTCGTATTCTTTATCCAGGGAGGCAAAACTTACGTTACTGAAAACATCCATTAGAAATCGGAATGGCGGCTTCTTCAACAGCTTCTCCGTGAGAGGCGGTTTCTTGACGTACTTGCCCAAAACCTTTTGGGTCGCCAAGATAGTGGCATCCAGATCTTTTTCCGACATGTTTGTTCAACTTTCTCAATTGAAATGTAGTTAACTAGCCTGACGGTTTCTTTGTTTGGCCCGGCCACGTTGTCCTGGCAACCGAACAGGTGAACTTCCCTAACTTGGCCAGCGCGCTTCCATGGAAAAATCAGATGCAGGCATTGAAAAATGTTTTTTGAAATGTTAGCATTTCAAATCCATTCGGAGACTCGTAAGTACACGAAGACACGTCGTTTGTTCCAACACAACTCTCACTTTATTTTAAAAAACATTCTCACGTACAACATGACTTGGCTCGATATGAGTGCAGTTCGATATTGAGGTTTCTGGGATATACATATATCATATTTAGGTGTATATATTGTTTTGTGGTGGATGCTTGCTTAACAATTGAGGTTACGGTTTTAAAAAGAACGTTTGCGGTTTAATACTTTGGAAAGCTACAAAATAAATTAAAATTACACGTCAACAGTTGGCCAATTTCGTGTGTTAGCGATCAGAGCAGTCCAGTGGATTGTTGTGTTTTCCGGCGACTATATACAATTAACATTAATAATTCTCATAACTAAATTATACACAGTGTGATTAAAGCTAGAGTCATACAAAAAGTAAACATAATGGGGGCAGGAGGGCGGACAGGAGGACAGTAGGCTTCCGGATCTGTTCGACGCGGCTCAGATCGGATCTTGCAAGCAAATTGGCGGCAATTATACAGGGCTGACACAAGATCAAAGTAAGGGGGACAGAACGGCCTTGTCATCGTACTACAGGTTTACATAGCGCAGCGCTTAGTTTAGGTATATAGTTTAGTTTAGGTTTTAGCTCAGTTACATTTATGTTTAATCGTATAGGTAAGGTATCGCGCATACGTGTCGATAGATATCAGTATTTATATTACATTTAGAGTGCGGCATTTCCGTGTGATGCAATATGCTGACCTAAGTCGTCTCCCCAATGCGCGGCAATTAAAAACGAATTGTTAAAATTAACTCTCTGCGTAATTAGGCTAGATTGCGTCCCGCCGACTGATGCTACAACTCAAAGAAGTCGTCCTGCTGCTTCTCCAGCCGCTTCAGCGAGTTCTGAACTCGCCGCGTCTGCGTCGTGTTCAGCAGGTGCGCCGTGTCCGAGGAGTTCCCGCTGCCCGTCGAACTGTGGCGCTGGTACTGCGACGGACGGTCGTTGTTGTTGGTCTTGTAGGAGTTGTTCAGCGGATGGCGGCGCTGCGGGAAAACGTCGGCGGTGGCACTGATGCAGATGTCCGCATCACTTTGACTGCTGACCATACTGAAAGGCGCACATAAATGAAAACATTAGTAGAAAGCATTGGCAGTTTAAATATATAATTTCACTAGCTAGCGACTCGTTCATCACTTCATCGGCTATCACTTCCAATTTCTATTGGTTCTGTCACTTAAACAAATTATGATTAAATGATCTCGATAAAAATGCTTTAAATACCAATATCGACAGCCGAATGAGTTGAAATAATGATTGATTGGGTCTCTTTTCAGTGGTGGAATTACTTACTCCTTGGAGCGCTCCACATATTTGCGCGACTCGGAAATGGTGTTGTCTATCTTGTTGAGGAAGTCGTTCATGCATTTCCTGTTCTCCTCCTCGGGCGTCATTGCTGCCACCGAGTCCAGGCTCTTGCTCTGCTTACCGCTGCAACCACCGTGGCCGTGCATCATCGATGGATCCTCGTCGCCGACCTGCACCACCAGCAGTTCCCCGGCAATGGAGTACGGCCGTTGTGGGGGCTGTTGCTGCTGCTGTTGGTTGCCGCCGGAACGCGATCCTCCGGAAATGGGGCCGGTGCCACTTGTGTTGCAGCTGCTGCTGCTCCCACTGCTGCTGGTGCTACTGCTGCTGCTGCTGATGTCGTTGCTCTTCATGAAGCTCTTGTTGCTCTGGCTCAGGTTATTGGCATTGTTGTGCGCCTCCCGCTGTCCATTGGCATCCGGAGTGCCCGGTGGCGTGGCCAGCACGGCATCGAAGGCGGCTATCGAATCGCCAGGCACCTGGGGATAGTACGGGGAGTTCTTCTCCACTGGCACCAGGAGAAACTGACGCAGGAACAGGCTGTCCGAGGCGAAGAGGCGGTTGGCCCGTCTTATTTGCTCCGTCTGAAATGCAATACACGGGATTTATTTATAAGCTGGCGGAGCTCATCAATTACGGCCAATTGAAGCGCTGACACATGATTGATGGATGAGTTTGATCGACGGATGGATGAGCCGGCTAAGACGCATATATGGCCAATCGGGTCAAGTGGCATGCAACGATTTTTTCTGCTTTGGCTTACAGGGACGTCTCAGATCTGTCGAGTCAATAAACTTAATCTGACTAGGCAAATATTAGTCCAGTGCTAACTGAACAGTCGAGCTCTCGTTGTGGACATAAATCATATGCAGCAATCTGTCAAGTCGCAAGAGGGTGTCTAAATATGGGGCTGCAGCATTTTCCACAGGTCCACTGTGATAACGAGACTGATAAAGATCCAGACTAAATGCTAGGTACTTGTCTCCAGACTGACTGTCCCTTCCCACATGTCGCTATCTAATATTTGTCCAAGTCACTAGACACTTATCACATCCCCCGCAACTTTGGGAAGGTGTGGGTACGGTCGTAAATTCCAAGAAGGCACCAAGTGGCATGTGCTTGGGGCAGATGGAAGTTACCGGGGCAACATGGCCATTATTGAATCGATACACTCAAATCCCAGGGAGTTGACATTTAAAATGCAAAGGGCTCGCGTGCCGGCAGCACTAGTAAAGCTTCCCAAAGGGGGTAAGAAATCAATGGATGTGGTGAAATGATTTGGTCAAGATTCAAAGCTTTAGATGCACACAATATTCTATGGAATCTGTTTAGTGGGAAATGGCTTCGTGACTTCAATAGGTTTTTGGGAAGTAGCACTTCTGTGTTAGTTTTTCAATTACAAAAGTTTAAAGGCAGCATTTTGAGATCAATAAATTCAAATGAAGCGGCTGACATTTAACATTCAAAGGGGTTAGCGTGTCAGCAGTGGCTTTTGTTGTTGATAAACCTATTTTGAGGCGCAATTAAAAATAGTACATGGCTAAAGGTTTGTTTCAATGTGGGTAAGTGCATGTAATGATACTTTTGCATATTTGCAATTTACAATCGATAGAAAGATACATTTGAACGATTAAAATCTGGCATGAAGGGTTGTATAATTGATTGCCACTTTCTTGGAACTTGATTTTATAGTGTTACCTTCATGACGTGTAGAAGACAATAATCAAGAAGCTGTGAGCTTCAGTTGGAGATTCTCCCCTACGTGTCAATACTTCACTAAAATATGCAGCAATCGAAGCAAAACAAATGCCATTGTATGGGAATTCCGGGAAATAAGCATATAAGGCTAGGAGCTGCTCCAAGTTGTTAAGATGCCATGATACCAGGAAGTGGTAGCCACCGTATGCACTCTTGGAGCTTCCCGCCGTCTTCGCTGTGGTGCATTGTCGAGGAATGTGGAATGCGGTTGATGATGGCTTCTCGCGAGGATTGACTCACCGTGCAGCCGTACTTGAGGGCGATGCCCTGCAGCGTGTCCGTCTTCTCGACGATGTGCCGGATGAGGGTCTCATTGTTCCGGAGGCTGTTGCAGCAGGTGCTCCCGTAGCGCTTGAGGGTGCGCCCGGAGTCCCGGATCGATTGCTTCTCGTTGAACATGAATTCCGAGTCATCCATGTCGGGAACGATCTCTTGAAACTGCAATGGATATGGGAATTAATTCAGATGGTTGGTTGGTATATTATTGTATTATGTTTATTATAGTGATGTCATGGCCAATTCGCAACGCACACAGGCACAGGCCTATATGTACACATATACCTATGTATGTAATTGTAATTTTGTTACACAGGCACTGATTTTGAACGCAGTGTTGGGGCGACTAAAGTGAAAAGCGACTAATTTCCGCATTAACTAATTATGCGCGCACTCACCCGAACGCCGCTCCTTTGTAACGGTAAATGCAGCTGCAACTCAGCTGCAACTGTTACAGTTACTCCGCCGCAGAGCCCCAAATCACACACACAGGCACACACTCATGGCAGGCCTTTCAAAACAGAGCGAGCGAGATGGCGCGAGAGAGAGAGTGGTAGTGGGTGGGTTTGGGGTGGCGTCTTTACCGCCCACCTCTCTCACCCTGCCAACAAATTGCGCTAATATTTGCACACGCGAGTGCACTGTTTTATGGCAATTTGCGATTTTTCGATCCAATTGTGATTTTCTGTTTACTACGTGCTGCAGTGTTACCAGATGCAGCGTGAGGGACAAAGCCAACGGGAACACTGTCACCTTCATTTCGCGTTGCCAGACCGTCTTATCTTGGCGGCACATTTGAAACTATCAACTGCGCCTACGAGCGAACTTAAAATATGCTAATTAGTAACCAGTTACTACTTAAATACAGATCACACAACTACTAATAAGCTAACAACATAAATAACCAATTTAAGTTTACTAAATTCTATAATAGGGGAATAAATGTGGTAAAAATGCGTTTGAGGGCTCCCCTGAATAATTAATATTAAATAAATGTAGATGCAAACTTGTAAAGAAGGCGCTGCCACCCTGACTTAACAAATTGGCGCGCATTTCAAAAAGGGGGAGAGCAGTGAGGGCACTTTTATTTGCTTTTGCTTTGTCTCAAACATCCAGACGCTGTTAATTTTTCAGTTTGTTGGTGTTTCTCCGCCTGCACTGGGTAATTTTTTCACGTGATCGGCAGCGTAAACGTCTTCAAATGTATTGTATATATTTAGCCAGTCAGTCAGTCAGTTCGAACCTGTTTGAACAAAGCAGGTCGCCAGTGGGTTTGTTATTTTGTTATTTTTCTGTATTTCATCCCAGCACCAACAGCTGCTGCAAATATTAAAATTAGTGCGGTGCCGCTGCCTGATAATTAACATGTGACTTTATTCATTAATGGTGGCTGAACATTGTATGCGCAATATTGCTGCATTATTGCACTGCCCGGCACAATAACTACCGCATATTTGCATTACGGGCTTTGGCCATAATCGACGTGAAACCGGGCGCGTTAAGGTCCACAACAAGTTGTTAGTACACATACCATGCTTTCTGTTCAAATGAGGCGCAATCTCTTGCACCATTTTATTTGCCTTTCAGCGTGTTACTTCCTATGTTTGATTTATTTTACCACATTTCCAGCTAAGCAAGCAGCGTAATGCTTTCAATTCTAAAACTTGAATGCCTTTTTCTGGCTCTTATCGTTGAGCCTTATTGCTTATTTCTTGGTTGTTCATAAATGTATTACTTTTACACTTACTAAAGTGAGTAATACATTTGTCGGCTGGTGATCTATAATTTGTTGCTTAGAAAATCGTGGTGACCCTATTGCCAGCGCTGCTTTTTCGATGTATTGGTCGCCATTTATTTATGTTTGGCAAATATTTTGCAGATAAGCTGCGCAGATAAGAAACCCACACTGCTAAGGCAGCTCTCTATATAGTTCTCTCAATAGTTTTCTTTAGTTACACAGATTTTATTCTTATATTATATATGTATTCTTATATCTTATATCTGTATATTCTGTATATCTAGTGGATCCAGCGAGTGACGAACGGTCATTGACATGGGATCGAAATACAATACGCATACGCCATGGTGTACGAATCAGAATTTGTGTGGGACTGACTGTGATCTGTGATGTGCGATTTGTTACCTGCGGAGAAAGCTCTCACCATTGCCCATTCCGAGCACATTAAGAAAACACCTGATTAATCAGCACACGAGCTGCTTCTGAGACATGATCGTACTATATGTTATAGCCTCATTGTTATCGTGCGCGTTTATTGGCGCAGAAATGAATGTTAAATGCTTTTTGGCACTTGGGCTCTAACAGAGGAGGGCTTTGAGCCCGTATATTGAGACATCAGACATGCTCGACTGGCGCTTCTTCATTGTGAGTCACTAATTTGTGTGAACTCGAGGGGCAGCGAGTTCATCGCTGGATGGGCAATTATCGCCTACGTTCAAAGAACTTCCAGCAACGAAGGTCAAGACTCGGAGCCACGTTAGTCCACTTCTCGTTGGCCGATTGGCCCATAATCAGAGCCATAAATTATGCGGCTAATGTGGCTCAGGCACTCATAAATTCAACGATATCGCACGTAATCTATTTCAATTTGCTGCCTTTCAATCGCGCTTTGCAGCTGCTTGTGCGGTGTGTTTTCGTTTTCGTTTTCAGATTTATGGAATTGTGCAAGCACACGAAAATTATAACCGAAGGTTGCACATAACTAAGTAAAACGGCTGGCCAGGCACTATCTTTAGTATTAATTAAAGCGCCCAAAATTGGGAATTGCAAATTGATAAACAAGCGGTACGAATCGGGCGCAGACAGCCAAAACAATTTGTATGCACGGTACGTGACTGAGAAGCAAGAAGCTCCATATACCCATTCAGATATCTGGAGCTCGGTTGTGCTATTGTTGATGTATGGGAAATACTCGTCCCATGGCCGCGATTATGCCAAACAAAGGCGCTTCTTGGCAGCAAGACACGTGATCTCCGGTGGATTCTCTTGCTCACTCGATACTAAGATTTGAGTGGCCATATCTGGATGACTCAGGCTGGCCAAAGGTGAACCTATTCAGTTGGCAGTATGCGAAATTGCTACATTTCAGCTGGAACAGTATCTAAGTTAAACAGTCCTCGACCTAAAAATGTATGCATGATGTATAGTCAAGAGGATTCATAACCAATTCTAAGCCAGCTAGTAAACAATGCCGTGTTTGTTGGTGGATCAATCAGGCACCTAAGCCCCCGAGCCTTGATTTAAATGTCTTTGGGGGGCATTACTGGGAAAGTACCCATTGAAGTGACTTTATAATGCACCCGAAGCTCAAGTTGTCCCAGCGATATCAATGAACCGCTTGTATAACCCGCATGTGAATATCTGGAGTGTCAAGTGTCCGGGTCTTAAGTGGTCTTTGTTTATTTATATTTGGTGATAAATTTAATGGATGGGTCGCTGGTTCTGGGTTCTTAGTTCTTGGCTCTAGTTCCTTCAATAGCACACGAGCTTATCGTCTAGACAAGTTGTTTTAGCACCTGTTATTTGAGCATTTGAAGGGCAAGTTGTTTCCTTAACGCTTAATTACTAGTGCTACGTGCAAGTTCCATCAACGTGACATTTTACGATATTTAAAATATTTGGCGAAGATACTAATGATTGGGGTAGAGTACATTGTTGCAGTTGTGGAATATCAGCCACCAGCTTTTGGTGATTTTTGTGTTCATGAGAACTGCTTAATTGATTAATCAGTTAAATAACCGAGTGGTTGGGTATTTTTGTATATATTTGTAGGCAGTGTGACACAAACTAAGCAGTAAAAACTTTCAAGATCTTCAAATAAAAAAACAATGGCTGAAGTTTGTCAGGCAAGTGGGAAATGGAACCCTTCAAATTATCAATCTCTATAAACGTTGTTTTATTTCCTAATGGCGTTGCACTTAGACGTGTGATTGATTGTCCGCTGGCTTTCATAATACCCCCATATACCTATATACTATGGTTGTGGGTCATTAAAAAGCAGCTGAGCGGCCCCCAAGTGACTATCAATATGATTTATAAAATTATTAATTATACGTCTACAACTACTTCAGTTCTTGTTTTGCAGTGTTTGCCTAGCTGGCTTCAAAATATATGCTTCGGAATGGGGATTTCTGTGTTTCCAAGCTCTGTGACTTTTGGTTGACTAATTATTTGCTGATAAGATTGCCGCCTTTGTTCGCAGAAGAGGGTGCTGCCTTCGTTTATGATCTATATAGGGTGCGATCAAAGATATAGGTACGCCAGCAATGCACAAACAAGGAAATTTTGATCGGGGTCTTGGAATTCTACGTCTTGGGGCCCCAAACCGTTCGATCAGCACGTTCCAATTGTGATAAGCCTTCTGTGTGAAAGTCAAGGCCAGTTTTCCAGCCAAGATCACAAAATCAGCTAATGCCGCACACAAAGCGCCCTGAAAGTCGGCCTATTTGTTCTTTATACAAAGGCAGACTTATCTCTGTCTTATTTCGGAATTGTTTTCCCATTTTTATGCTGATTATTCGAATTTAAAAGACAGCTAGCTCGACTTCAGCGTCACAATCAAACAATAACGCATATCAATCGTGGAATTTCTGTAGATTGACACTTTATTTATAAGCAATTTGAACCGGTTGCAACCGCTAAATCAGACAAAAACTTAAATATAGACAGCCGGTAATCGCAAATAGTCTACACAGAAAGATCCGAACAAGCAAATAAATAAAAAACCACAGCGAAAACCAGTCTTTAAATCCCACTGTGCAACAGGAAGCCCAACTCTGTGGTTAAATTTATCTCCGAGAATGGTACGGACATTCAACTGACTCACTGGCATTCCCGAGATAAAGCTGGGATTTCACACATTAAAGAACCCAGATAAGCCCAGATAAAATCTGCGATTTTTAGCTACCACTCAAACTATGATTTTTATACACACATTAAGTGCAGTTTTAAACTTTGAAACCTCTGCGAAAGTATTGCTCTATATTATCCCGAGGTTCACTAATTACTTTTCGTGACTTGATCATTGCACTCCATAAAAAACCCAACATGTCTAGCATCTCTATAGGTCTGAAAGGCATTAAAACGTAACATATTTGTAGCCTAGACTGTAAATTTGTTAGCATGCTAAGCCATAAATTCTGGTCGAGCTGAAAGTGCAAAAGGCAGCTTTCTTTTGCTCGGTATAAAATTGGTTTTTCAGCGCAGAAATGCAAAAATCAAAACTTAAAGCCATGCTTTTTGCGACTAAGAACAAAATATTCAGCTATATTTACATAACTATATTCAGAGAACTGAACAAAGTATAGTAGTGCACGAGTATTATATCTTTCACTGCTGTGATATACGATTACATGGTGTAATAGCCACCAAATGGCAGCTTAGCTTTTGCGCGTGACCCAAATTCGTGTTGAGCCCAATTATACCCAAAGTTATCGCCAAATAGCCGTGAGCCACAGGCCAACCTCGCTTTGTTGGCCCGCCCGCATGCAAGCCATTACCATACGGAGGGACTTTCGGTTCGCTGCAGGTGCGGAGCAGCTAGCTAGCTGATTAGCCAAGGCCAAAACACCACCCACAGCGGGCCAACATGGCCGCGATCAGCCGAAGATACACCTGTATTTAAATGTAAGTGTGCCAGTCGAGTGAAGTACTCGTGCATGCCATGTAAGTTTGGCCTACAGCCACTCAGCCGAGGGACAAAGTTGGCTGGCTCTTCTGGGGAAATTCCAGGGTATAGCGCAGACGCAACTGCAGAGGGCCACTGGTGCATTGCACCCTGTCAGGCGGCGTATCTGGTTGCAAGGTTAAGGATATTTTTAGCAGAGCAGCCGGAATGCGAAGCGAGGCAAGAGTTAACTTTATACTTGGTGCAATGTGCATTGGCCCAATTAGCGGCTGCAGTCAGCGTATAAAATGCATTTTGTGCTCGCTTCAACTTGTTCTCGCTTGCGGCACGGCGAGAAATTGTATCTGCATTTGAATTGAAAGTATCTTCAGTTGTGCATTATCTGTGCTTGCATATCTGAGGCTGACACTGAACTGATAACCAGTTTCGATAATGCACCCATAAAATTCAGCTTCTGCTCACGCACGCCCCTTCTAAAATATGGCAAAATACGTCACTGAATATTTGAAGACCACTTTCGTTTCAAAGCACATCTAGTTTCTAATTCAAAAGTATCAAACGAGTTATCAAGCCAAAAAGTATCTTACATTCCAAATCTTTTGTTTCTCTTGTTTTGATTTAGAAACAGCCTCCTTTTTCAAAGCATTGCATCTGAAAACATTTCTGCTGCTAATTATTTGTGATTAGTTTTTCCTTATAAAAGACGGCAATTAAGCACATATTTTTTCGCGTGCACTGGCTGTGCTGCACGGCTATTTTTCCACACTCGCACACCCATTGGCCATTTGCAATTCAAGCGGGGAGCCGCATAAGTTGGTGGCTGTAGCTGCTTTTGGCCAGATGTGCTCGTTGTTGGCTTACTCATCGCGCTGGTTCGCTGGCCACGATCTTAGCACACTTTGGAGGCACTCGGATTCGGAATCGGATTCGGATTCGGATGCGGATTGGCAACTGCAACAGCAACACACGCAAACGCCGCCAGAAAAGATACAAAAATAATAAATAAACACAACGACACCAGATAGAGAGTGGAAAAGAACCCGAGGAACCGAAAGAGCAACGCTCATTCAGAAAGGCAGTCGCTTTTTTGCCGGGTAATGCGAGACCATTTCGACATGATCGTGTTTCGCAGAATAATTTATTATTTTGTTGTCTGTTGCCGAGTGTCTTTTGGCCAGGTCTTTCCTAAATGCGGTTAAGCACTCCTCCACTTCCTCCACTTGCCCCCGGCGGGCCAAGTTCTCACCGCTGATCGTGGTTGGCTTAGGGTGTGCTACCATACTTGTATACCACACAGCTTACAGTGGGGGTCAAAAGAATGGGGCTTTGTCGGAGAAACAGTGTATTATAATATAATACAGTGTATTATAATAAAGACCAGCATCTATTTATGTATAAACCAAATTTTTACTTAGTTCCTTTCACTTCCTAATAATGTGTAGTATGCCCACTTGCCTGTGGATCCGTTGGACTTCCTTTCTTGGCCGCGACTGTCTTGCATGCGCTTAGACTCTGGCCCAAAGCCACCAGTTGAAGCCAAGAGCTAACGACCGCTTATTGCCGTGACTCCGCAGCCTTTGGCGAATCCGCAGTGTAGAAACATATTAATGATCGCACAAAGAGCCAACAGAAGTTGGGTTCACCTCTGCAAGAAAGCCACCATATTGTCGTCATCTCAAAAGCGTTAAGAGTCGATGCCATAAAGTTCGAGCTCCATGCTTTTCGAGGGGCTCCATACAGAGCTGAATATGCATGGCATTGTGCTTTAGTAAACTACCTTTCGCACTTTTCCTTCGACCAATAAATGTGATAAACAACAAATGGTTTTTAAGTAAATACCACAAATTAGCGGATCAAACTATAGGGTGACATGACTTTACGCCCCAAGCTTTGTATCTTTTGCTCGAACCAATTTGCGAGTCGTTTGGCCGCCTAACGATTGTAATTCCATCTGTGATTTGTGTACGCCCTAATTGTAAGTCGATTACCAGTTTCCTGTTCAATAATTATGGATTCGTAATTGGCGCCGACACCTCACAGTTTTCTAACTCAATTGCTTACCTGCGAGTGCAGCTTCCAGTCCTTGTAGGCCTTCACTATGTAATCCATTTCCGTGGGCTTGCCTGTTTATCTGTACTTCTGTTTTTCTGCTCTCTGCTCTTCACTGGATCGCCTGCATCGAAGAACATAAAAATACTAAGTACACTGCACTCACTGCCAGCAATTAACTTAAATTCGTCTTGGCCACATCATTTGCGCCACAATTATGAAACAATTATACGATTTCGAGATTTCTTGATTCGTGTTTCTTTTTTTATTCGGTGGCTGCCATCAAACGCGGTTGTGCAATTTCCGAGTAATTGTTCAACAGGCTTTACTTTAGTTGGGCTTTGCGCTCTAGTCAAGGCTGGCAACAACAAATCTGCGTCTTCCCACTCTTTCGCTTCTTCTGTCTTCTCCCAGTGTCTTTGCACTTGTGCAAATCTCCAGAGCTCGTGGGCGTCGCTTTGTGTGTGTGCGTGAGTGTGTGTGTGTGTGCGTGTGTGTCTGTGTGTGCCGGTGACGGCGACGTGTGTGAGCGAGTGGGTACAGTGGGGCCTCAATAAGCCGCACTGAGCAGCAACAATTGAGATTTATTACTACTAAATTACACCAGCAAAACTATGGAAGATGCTATGAGGAATATGCTTTCAGCTAGCATAAATAATTAGTTCGTACTGAATTTAATAAAAATGCACATTAAAATGCTCGACCTAATGCTGGCAGCTGCCAGCTGAGCAGCACAGAAAGTGAAGGTCTTTCGGCATTCCGCGTTATGGAGTTTGAACTGTACGCGAATTTGTTTTCCGGCTGCGACAAATGGAAATTTGTATGTACCGCGCTTCGTGATATTTTGCCAGTCGACTGACTTTTTGTCAATTGTTACTTTTTATCTAGCGAACAAATATCCATTAGCTTGTAGGATTTTTCTTGTTTCGTGCTGCGGCTGTTACTTAAGTTATTAATTTGAGTGTGGCAGCTTCTGTGGGACAGCGAACAGCCTTTGTTTATGGTTTCTATTTTTTTGTTTGTCACAATGCAAATGGGCAGATCACCGCGTGTAAATACACACAATTGAGTCCAGATGCTCGTCGCTCGTCCCATGGCAACGACAGTAAGCGTTCTCTAACTTTAGTAGTTTAGCAGTTGTGCGTATATTTCACTGAACAGCAACTCTTCGCTTTAATATTCGTATATGTGTATATCACGATGTGTATATTCATGATTTCGGCACTCACAAACACAGGCACAAAAGCAGCGGCGACGGCGACGACAACGCGATATATTTTATACGTTTTTTTCCAGCTTTTCGCCTAAACGCTAAACGGAGGCACTAACTAAGTGAACTTAGCCAAAACAACTAAGAGCGCAGCAGGCGAGCGACCAACTCCAAGCAGCACTCAAAAACAAGTGACGGCTGAAATGACTGCCGCGCCAGCAGCGACGAGCGAGTGCGATTCTCCGCGCTCGGGGAGACTCTCTTCCAGAAGACTCTCTTCGGGCGCTCAGCTGGGCTCTCGGCTTTCGGTTTCTTCGGCTGGAATCGAAGAATGGCATTGTGGCACTATGGAGTGCACACACACACTCAATCGATTCGTGGATGCTGGCTCACTGCCTGCGAATTACTACTCGAAGTACTCACTGTACGATGATTGCGCCTAATTCGAGTGATAATAGTGATAGCAAACACGTTGGGCTGCCCAGCTGGCGAAGAGAACTTTACAGGCACAGTGGACGCGTATATAATGAACTGTGCTTTGCGTATCACTAAGTTTATTGATAAACTTAAGATTGCAGCGGTGTCCCTTACATAAGCCGTGTTTAAAAATAATGAGGATGGTTAATTTTTTATGATTTATAAGGAATCTATATCAAATAGATTTTACTTGTGTGCTGAGGCGTTCAAATAGTCAGTTCCATCTGATCTGTGCAAGGATATACTCGCATTTAAGGCATTTTTAGTGAGCTAGCTAAAATGTAATACAGACTGCGAGCACTGTACACAGTTAATCGTTTGTAGTATGTACATATCCGCAGACTTGTGATATTCATTTAAGCAGCTCCCGCTGTTCTTCTTGATTATTAGATGATAACTGGATGGCGGTGACAGGTGCACAGGTACAATGACTGTCAAGTTCCCCGCGTTTTCCACTGGGTTTTATTGCTTTCCTACAGTTCTCCCCAGTTCGTCATAGGCTTAATTAGCATGCATGATAAGCCCACGATCTGCGGAGGAATCCCTTTTTCAGCGATGAGCAGGGAATTTTCCAGCGAACGGACGTCATCGTTTGCAGTGCAGATTGCGGTAAAAGGTGAATAACTATTTTTGGAAATCCGGTGATTGTGTCTACACGCCCGCTGCTGCTGCTGCTGCTGCTGTCAAAACAAAAGTTTCATTATGATTGGGCCCACGAATTCGTGTTGTTTTCGGAGCAGATAAGCGGCGAACGACAGTCACAGAACAAGGTAATCCATGTTAGATATACTGTTATCGATACCCCTTATCTCTGCGCACCTAAACGGACCGACTAGCCGTGCGGTGCGGAATGCGTCAGCTGCCAAAAACAGGGCCCGATCTGCTCCTGTTGCCAATGGCTGATAGTCCAAATTACAAGAAGTTGATCAATTTGTTTGTTTTTGCATGCAATATGGGAAATGTCCTCAAACATTCAATTGCAAAAATGGTATTGAAAGGATTGAAGATACAAAGAAAACGTACAATGAGACTGTTATTGATTAAACTTTATACAACGAGTTATACTTCTTTAGGGATCCAAAAATATAAATATATTTTATTGTATGTATAAATATATATACCTTGCTTGGAAACTTTCTACCCCAATTAGGTTAACTACAAAGACTGCTCCAGAATGTAGGTCACCATTTTAGTTGCTGCTTAAGAGACTTGCAGGCTGATTCATTTGATTCAATTTCCTGCGAATTTTAATCCACTTTCGTGAAACGGCGTCGAAATGACGTCGATTTGAGCCCCCGAACTACCGCCCTTCGCTTCTCGCCCGGCAACAGTGGGATTTACATTGTGAATCAAATGTGTGCTAATTGGGCAGACACGTTCGATCCGTTGACCAAAAAGTATTTGTTTACTTCGCGCCTTGCGAATGCATAAAGCCTTTGGGTGTCTTCCCAAAAGTTTGGTTAATAACTTTGGCAAAGAATCAAATGCGAAGTAAGCGCAGCTGACAGGTTGTTTATGTGTGTCCGCACATTATGGCTTCATTATGAAATCGTAACTAATCCGAACTTCACATACTGGGATAATGGAATCGCGAATGAGCTGATTGATATTTGCCACTTGGACGGCAGCCTAGGAAAATCTCCTGTTTGGAAATTGTTTGTCCAAGCGGTTTCTTTTATTTAACCTTACTCACAATTACTGGGCACCACAATTTACTGAAGAACGTATGTTGAATGAAAAATGTGCTCTTATTGAATATTCATAGAGTCAAGGTTAATGTTTTTTGTATACTACATTCTGAACATTTTAATTACCATAAATTAAACAAATTAGCAGTTACACCGAAAACGGATTCAAATTTTGAATCGCAGTTCTATAGCAATCAGCTTATTTCTTCGCATTAGCAGAGACACATTCCATGCTTAGCAAAGACATCAACCATAAACAGCAAATACTACAACCATATACAGCAAAGACTTCAACCATATACCGCAAAAACACCCTACTGCTGTTTCAGTGTGACCAGGCATGCCCACAGGCTTGCGGCTTTATTTGTATGCAGTAATTTTCATAGTTATCGGCGCGGTCACACTGTCCGGTCGTTTGCTTTGCTCTTTCCATTTCGCTCGTCGAAAAAACGCAGAAAATGTGGAAAATAATTGATAAACTGTGCTGAAAAGTGTGTGCGAATATGGTGTGCAGTGCCTGCGAATGAAATTACATCGAATTTGCAGCGTTCAGTTGCCAAAAAAGTGTAAAAATCGAGAGCAGAAAACCTGATTTCTGTGAAGAAGAAGCAGGCATTTTTCATCGTCGTAAAACCCGACATACAGACACCCGCACACACACACGCGAACACAAGCGCAGCGACATCTGTATATACGAATTGCGCGGGCGCGAGAGAGAGAGAACGAAATAGAAAGAGAGCGGAGCGGGCCATTGCGGTGTACGTGTGTGCGTGTTTCTGTGCGTTTGTTTTGTGAGCGCAGAGCGAGCCGTGCGAGAGAGCGGCGAATGTGAGAGCCAAAGCAAAAACCAAGAAATAAGTGAACGAAAATAAAAACGAAAATCGCAATCTCCACCCCTGTATTTTGTGTTTACTAGTGCTTTGAGTGCGTGTGTTTCTGTGCCGTTTTGTTGTGAAATTGTCCCAAGTCTGGATTACTTTTGCATTATTTCCGTGCACCAAGGATGCCAAATGGTAACAACAACCCCTGAAACGGATTCGAATCTCAATCTGCATCTGGATACACGCTCGCCACCAAGGTAATTAAAAGATCGCCGCGATAAAAGGCGTCGCCGGCTGCCGATGAGTCAGCCTGCCGTGAATATATATCACTGAATTTTTGCGCACACACATATGCATATGCATAAGCAACGCAGATATTGATTTGAAATGCACCCTGAGATACTATACACCATTGCACACCACATCACATTATCAAACCCCATCCCGTCAATTTCATATTCATAAAGACCCCCACAACACCCACTAACCTTTGTAGACCTCTAGTCAGTAGTTTTAGATTGTTGTTTTTAGCTAGAAAGAACTGGAAAGTGTCGTTCAATTATTCACTCGATAATGCAAATTAGGCTGCACAACAAATACTGTTAGTTTATGGCCCACGCTGCGATTTATGTCTACAGTGGGGCCTCGTTGAGTGCGACTAGCACCAGTTGTAGCATTTTTTACTTACTTCTTTTTGTTTTTTAATACTAGTAGACAAGTATTGGTTTCTGTAAAACCTGTTGATTTAATAACAATATTTTCAGTTATGAAATCATTATTTAATATTCTAATTTGGATCCAATACTAACAGATTTCAAAAGAGCTAAGAAATTTATAAACTATTTTTAACTATTTTATTAAAATAAGGACCAATACTCAGATAATCATATTTTAAGACCTCTTGTCATTTTTAGCTTAACTACATGACTCCTGAAGCTAATTGATCAAATAGTTTATATTTATAAAATGCAAAGATGCATAGATAAAAATAACTGCTAGAGGGATTGTACTGTAAGTTTCCATCTACGACGTTTTCCATTATTTACCACCCGTAAAACGAACGGTAAATGACAGTCGCGAACACACCCACACAAACATAGCGGCGAGCCATAATAAAGCAGCACCGATAAATAAAACTTAATGTGTGACCAGTTAATTGCTTTTGTTGTCGCCTTATTCTAAATCAAATCGCTCTCTCGCTCTCTGTTTTTCTCGCTCTCGCGCTCTCTCTCTGTTGGACTCACATGGCCAAAGTGTTTGTATAACTAAAATTGTTGTTTGTTTTGTTGCTGGCGCTGTTGAAACTTTTAATAAATTATACAATAAAATGAAAAACGATCTCAGCGGCGGCAGCAGCAGCAGCTAAATCGATTGCCGCCGCTGCTCGCTGCCTAGAAGCTGTTGGATAATTACAAAATAAATATATGTATTTGTACATAGGCTGTTTGAGTATTTGTTGACGCCATTTTTTTATTTGCCATCAAAAAGGCAAATTCCAAATCGGCTCGGCTAGTGTCGATGCCTGTGTGTTTGTGTTTGTGTGGCAAACTACGCGGCAAACAACATTGAGGCGCAAAATCACCAAATGAGTAATTGCGCATATTGAAATTCGCCTTTCAAAAGTCGACCAACTGAGCCGTAAGCTAATGCGAGATCTTGAATGGGAATGAAAATGCGATACGGGCCAACTGATGCTCATCCGAATGCATTTTCACGCTCCACTGCATCCGCATCTCGTCGATCGCGCCTCCCAGAATCTTTGAACGCTTTAATTCAGAAGGTTCCACTCACAAACACCATGTTCTTAAAAATTGAATTTCTTTATAGATCATTTGATGGGGCATTTTCAGAGGCCCTAAAATAATATATCTTTCTTGAGATAAATCTTGTTGTGAAATCCGAAAACACCTTCCTATTGGGATTCTCCAAGATAATCTATTAATCTTAAACATTACAGTGCTGCGCTTATCGAGCGATCACTGTAGGCGTGATTTCTATTTGCTTCGGTGGCCGAATTATTAGTTTGCATTGTTGCTGCTACCAGCTAGCAGCACTTACACCTTTATTTACAGTGCGTTTTGAGAGGCTGCAGCTGCCAGCTGAGTTGAATTTATTTTACCTTGTGTTTCGTTACCTTTTGCCACAACCACCGTCATCATCACCATCCACACCACGAAACCAGATGCCCACACACGCAAAGAAACATTCGCGTACAAGTATTTAGTTCATGTTTCGTGGCAAATTG